AGCGTAGTTTTCTTTGTTTTTTGTAAATGTTTTCAGTCAGTAATAAATATAACAGAATTTTTAAGACCCACTGCTGGGTCAAGATCTTAAATCGAGGGTAATTAGGCTGTTTTTAACAAAGATAGCCTGAATGTGGTTTTACGGATTTTACACGACTTTTGAAAACTATTTAATTTATCTGAGATATAGAGGTTTCTTCACGATGTTTCTCTCCATCATTCATAATATGAAAATTTCATAAGTGCGATCTCGAGGCTTGAACCCACTTCAGTTAGTATGCCAAGCGTGCGCGTTACCAATGGGATATCACCGTATAGATTTTATCCATACTCTATAAAGATTTTTATACGTACGATGTTGTACTGTAGGAGATTAAGCTCAGAAAATCTCTCGTATATAAGAGGAACGTGGACACATATGTGGATATTTTTAAATTGTTATGGAGCGTTAACTTAATATGGGTAAAAGTGATACTGTACTTACATGTTAAATTAATTGATACGTCCAGACTCTATGAGACTTATTCCTTATGAGAAATGTATGAACATTTCATAATTTTAACTAAAATTGAATAAATATCTACAAATTTTTCAAAGACATTAAATAAGTACGAAAACAAACTTTATATAGATTTTATTACTTATTTTAGGAATCGCTTATTTTAATAGCATCGAAGCGAAGTTGAATAAAATATTGTGAGATTCAAGAATCGTAGTGGAAATTTAATTTTAGAAATTGAAACCTTCACAACGGACATTTCAATTTCGAGGAAAAAGGGGAAGCCGGATACATTTTATTTATGAGACGAGCATACATCTGAAAAATAATATCGCGTACCCCGCCAACCTTCATAAAGTTTCCTTTCATGTTTCGAGCGCCATCTTAATTTTTTCTATATCATAACTATGAATTTCTTGAATAGTTTCTTAAAAGACAATTAAAAATAAATGAAGCACAAAGGGCTGAAGAAAAATTTACAATTCTAATTAACACATGGCAGTCAGACAAAATGGCAGTCGATTGTACGCGTTAATGGGTTATTTCCATACGTCACTTTAATGCTACTTGTCCTGTGTACCGAAGCGATTGAGGGGCGCGGGGTCTCGAGCAACAGGCTCTGATCAATGAGACTCCCCCGCGCCCCGCTGGCTCACCTGCGCCGCACTTGTTGCGCGCACATTCAGACTATAATACACCTTAACTACCAATAAATAGAAGCTAGCAAGTTCCTAAATTAATATACATGGTTTAACTCGAGTGCGACTGTGTCTCTAAGCCCTCGTCTTTATGCATCTGGCGTCACGCCGTGCCGTATCAGGATTCTTTAAGCGTTTCAGCGGTTCGGATAAGTAAGATGGCCTTTTTAGTGACGAAATGTTTGTGGATTTATACATAATAGTACATGATATCTGCTTTGCATTATTAATATAAAGAACACGTTCTTTTAGCTTCAAAATCAAAATGAATTTCAATTTTTTTTAAGGACTAACATTTCTTCAATTATACATTGAAATATTTTTCTTGAAACCCAATTGAATATCTATTCGATAGATTTCTTTTATTATTAAAATTATTGAGATTGTTTCAATTATTATTTATCAAAGGCTAACAATCAAATGTTGTATTCAGTACTTTTTAACGTCCCACTGCTGGGCACGAGCCTCCCTTCAATATGAGTGAAGATCAGGCCATAGTCCACCACGCTGGTCAAGTGCGGGTTGGCGGACTTCCCATGTCTTTTGAAAACTTGCTAGGTTCTGTCAGACATGCAGGTTTCCTGACGATGTTTTCCTTCACCGTAAGACAAATGGTAATCATGTTAGAAATAATTCGTATTAGAAAACATCAGAGGTGCGAGACCCGGGATTTGAACCCGCTTTACTCGGTTTCCCAAGCGAGCGAGTTACCACTGGGCTACCACTGCTTACTCAAATACTGCAAACGCAAACTCAGTCAAAAAAGATAATATCTTAGTGGGCTAAGAAGCTCCATTACCTACAGTTTGTTCAAAACTGTTTTTTAACCCCCGACGCAAAAAGAGGGGTCTGTCTGTGTGTGGCATCGTAGCTCTCAAACGGGTGGACCGATTTCGATGCCGTTTTTTCATTTGAAAGCCAATTTCCTTGCGGTGGGTCTTAGCTATGTTTGGTTAATGTCGGTCCAGCAGTGTGAGAATATCAGCTCTTTTTCGCCTCTAGAAAAATACTAATAGAGATCTATTAGTTCCCACGGGAACCGTTCATTTTTCCGGGATGAAAAGTAACCTGTTGTTTGACCGGCAATATAAGGTATCAGCATGCCAAATTTTACTAAATTAGGTGCATAAGTTGTTGTGTACTAAGCTGTACTATAGTTTTTTGACTGTCCCACGGGAACCCTTTAATTTTCCGGGATGAAAAGTAGCGGATTTGTTATTGTCATGTATGAGCTATATTATTGTAAAGTTTTATTAAAATCCAATCAGTAGTTTTTGTGTACTAAGCTGTATAAGTTATTATAGTTTTTTAACTATTCCACGGGAACTATTTAATTTTCCGGGATAAAAAGTATCTAAGATGTTGCCTGGGGATATAAGGTACGACCATGCAAAATTTCATTTAAATCGGTCCAATAGATTTGGAGATTAGCCCGTACAAACAGACAAACAGACAGAAACAAAAAAATTGAAAAAAATCTGGATTAGTTCTATTTGTCTTCTTACATCCCCCTGACTTGGTTTTTAGCATTTTTTTTCTATGTACAGACTTTCGACCTCTACTGTTTTATTATAGTACAGATAAAGCCAAAGAATTTGTTTTTTTTTAGTAGTTTTAACGCGGGCGAAGCCGCGGGTAATGATAGTATTATATAATAATTGAGGAAGAATCACAGTTTATTCTAATATTGAGCTACTTGTTTATTCTTATTTAATACCAATATAAAATAATGATATATTTAACAAATTTTATTTATAAATCTCGTAGAAGATATTATTTTTGTTCAAGTCTCGAAGAGTTCTGTATAAGTAAGCTTTGTTTTTTATTATATCTAAGTACTTAATGTATAAGTACATTGTTATAAATGATTCATTTCTTAATGAGAACTAACAAATAGAATAGTGAGTTTAGTTATATATTATATACAATACGAATTAATGAAGTGTGTATACTAAACTGTTGTGACTATTAGAATTAATAGAATATATTCAACTTTATTTATTTGCATATAATACCATGCACGTTTGTGTCCAGTTATGATAATTTGTATCGATCGTGTGGTGCGGCGGAATGTACCCACAGCTCTGTAGTATGAGAGAAGCAATAGAAAGCACTCAAATACCAATACAAGTATGTACATATAGAGATAATACCGCTCTCTGATATCTGCGTCCTATTTTCAATACTCTTTTCTTTTGTAATGGATAGCGTATAATAAGATCCTTGGTTCGAGTCTTGGGTAAGGATGAAATATATAGGTTAGCAGCCACTAAATTCTTATTAGCAAAACGTAGTGCAAAATTTGGTGGCGTGAGGCAAAGACAAAATAGTTTATATACCTACCTTATTCTTTTGTGTAATTTTTTTTTTTTTTAATTTAGTAGCCATTGACGAGCTTTATTATTTTTATATAGATAGGTAAAGACTAAACAGTTCAGTGCCTTTTTCTCTTCTGTTCTATTTGTTTTTGTTATAAAAAAAATAAGATCTATATTATATATTATAGCTCAAACCATGGACGTCGAGGGGAGCTTTTGCTCCCTCTTTTCGTGAAGTGAAAAAATATATATCTAGAAAAAGCTAAGAAAAAAAATTATATTAGTAAAATCCCTGTTTAGGTATCTACGAAAAAACATTTATGAATAATAAATTATAAAGTTAATTTTACGACATGTTTGGCTCAGTGTGTACCTTGTAGTGACCCTACTTGTTGTGCCAGCGGTCGCGAGTTCGAGTCCCGCTGGGGGCATTCATTTGTGTGATGAGCACGAATGTTTGTACTCCAGACGTGACGTGAGAGAGATGCAGTTCAAACCATGATATAACCTTGAATTATTATAAATTATTTTTCCTACGATCTATCCTAATGAAGGATAGAGTCAACAAATTCAATGCAATTTTGTTCACTTAATAAAATCATAACAAGTCATAACAAGGTGCTAGTCGTTTGAATATTGAACCTCGTATGAATAAAAAAGTACCTACTTTTCTCCCGAAAAGTAAATAACTATTACCAGTGGGTATAACTTTAACACGTGCAAAAGCTTGTATGTACATAAAAAAAGTATTCTTGAGTGGTTTTTTTTTGTAATTTTAAAGCAATAAGCTCCTAACTCGACAGGAAAGGTATATATTTTTGTTAAAAGTGGATAAGGCGTACTGAATGAAATTCAAGATGATTTTATTACCCAATACCTAGAGACCTATCTCAGACGTGCAAATTTAATTTCACACCTCAGACATCAAAACGTTTTCAGCTTACATCTAGTTGTGACAAGACACGCACGACATATTATTTTCGACGTCAGAAAATATATATTGTTTATAGGTACATACCTATAAAGTAAGAACGTATCGAGCACGCACGTATTAATATTCCACAGTCGTTCAGAAAATCCTGTAACCTCTGTTATATATGAAATATCTTTGGGAAATATCGATGTAGTACCTACAAGTTTGGTGGTCGAATTTTTTGTTTCATAAAACGTAGGTCTTTAGATCGACTCTCAGATGCCACAAACATTGTAAGGTGTATAAAATGAAACACAAGATGTAGATGTAGTGTTTTTATAAAAAAAGTAACAAAAGTTACTTAAGATAAATAGATAATTTTTAAATAATATTAAGTATATTCTAGTTTCATTCTATAATAATTAAATAAACTTTATCAGCTACAAACACCAGCCCTATATAACATTTAATAACACAATTTAAACATCGGTAAAATTTTATCATATGTTTAGATAAAACATAAGAGGATAGCATTATTAACTTTGCTTTACACGGCCAATAGGTCTTTTTTTATATATCTGAGTCCCATTCTGATGCTACTTTTAAATAAATATCCATGCACGCCCTCGCGTCTTCAATAGAGTCGTGTTCATCTTCTTGAATAGATCTGCCCAGAACATCTCTGGCAAGTGTTTTTAGAGCCACGGGGTTATAATGATATTTCTAAAAAAATAATTGGAAATAAACTATTTTTAAATTTAAATGTACCTGCTTGCAACATAAACATGAAGTCAAAAGTACAGCTAAGAAACCAAAAAGGTAAGCAGACTAATGGTATTTATGAATAAAAAATATATTATAATTTATAAGAATTTACCCTTAAAAACGGCTCGTATGTTGCAAGGTCACGTTGATTAATCTCTGGGTGGCTTAGACTTAGAGCTTCCAACTCAAATTTCAAATAATGACCAATCAAAATGCATCCTTTTATAATATTAGCAACCTTATTTCTTACTGTTGGTAAATCACTGCCATTTTCCAAATGATTTTTCTTGATTTCCGTTGTTATATTCCTATAATCAGTCACCATGGCTGTAGGTCTCACATATTCGTCAAGTACAGGGAAACCATGTTCATTGACAATTGAAACTCGCGCCAAAAAACTTCCAGCGACACATCCCACCGTCTCACAATCAATTGCATATTTTAATGTCATTTTGCAGCAGAAACCGTTTACTCATTAAACGTTAGTATTAAAGGATTATTATAGTTAACAAATCATAGAAATATTTAAAGGCAAGTCCTGCGTAGTAAACTTCAATAATGCTATAACAATCTTTAACTAAGCATAGTTTAGGGGAAATACCTATACTAAATAACAAATTCTGGGATTTCTGGGGAAATACTTGTTATAGTCAATAGACACGTTTAAAGGACACAGGTTATAGGCTTTGTGTTTTTTATTAAAATATTTGAAAATGTCACCTCTTAAAACTGAAGGTCTCAAATATAAAATAAAAATAAAGATGAGTGGTCACTAGCGAATTTTAATGTCCTATTTTTTTTTACTTTTTTTTATGGATATGATTTAATGAATTATTTAAATGGTACTTTTACCATTATATGAAAGATAATGATGATGATAAAAAAATATTTGAAAGTGTATTGTTTGACTTACTGACTGCTGTATTCTGAAAGAGTAAATTATATTCGAAAATGAAAATGAATTCTTTGACGGAAGAATTATGTGAACATTTTCCATACTACTGTCTAGTATTATATAGCATTCAATCTTATTATTGAGTGTCTTTAAAAATCTTTCTATTTATTGCCTACAGGCTACAGGTGTCGTATTCATCAGTGAAAACGTCAGTTATAATTTACCTTCATGATTTCAAATTTCAATGTGTAAAAAGGAATTAAGAATACAGGACAAATTATTACTAAATCTTTAAACTAGCAAAATATTAATCTTACAACACATTTTTTAGACTTTTTATCTAGTAAACTCAAGCTAGTAACATAATAAATGATAGTTTAAGAGCAGAGACTTTATCGTTACCCCATTTTTACCAATGCTTCGCTTTCATAATACGTCGTTCATCGATAAAAGTAATCTATGGTTAGGTTATCTTTTGGGTACTAGGTTATAAGATATCTAGATCCATACCAAACTACATACACTAAAATCTGTAGCGCTGCAACAGCATATAAAAGTAACAGGCACTCTCGTGAAATATAACATTTTTATATTAATGTGAAAACTAATGGGAAAGATTTCTTGAAAGGTGGTCGCTACACGTATGATCTATAATGTATTTTTATGCAGTCTGAAGAGAAGCAATTTATTAAGATATCTCTATTGTAATCAGATTTTTTCTTCTAATGTGTTTACATCTTTCCTGTGCAATGTATTGTACCTGGAAGTTAGAAATTCATTCCTTTAAGGGAAAAAAGGGAGTAATAAAGTATATATGGGCAAAGAATTATTTGCGATCAGAATTACATGAAACTTTGTATTAGTGCTCTTACACTTCTTACAATACAATTAAATAAATAGGTTTAATATTCAATCCCGTAATGGGTTTTGGGATTCAATGAGGGCAAAATGAGGGATGAAAGTTTGTATGAAACTCTGTATTTAATAATATGTAAAAAAAGTTCAAAAAATAAAAAAATGTATTCACCTGTAGACAATTTAAGATTTTTAAAATCACTTTCTTTAAAATGATGTCCACACGTACACATATCCACATAGCCTTAAATATAAAGATTGTGATTTCGCCAATTTTAGTCGTCGTACAACCACGGAAAAAATGATATCCATTTTCCTTGCATCCTGGAACTGCACAATTTGTCATTTTAATTAAACTTTTAATAAAATGAAAAAAATCCATTCACGCTTCACAATATACTGAAGGTCATAGTGATTACGACATCTAGCGGGAGAAAAAGACAAAATTCTTCTTCATTAGTTAACATAAGTCATAATAATATTTAAATTGAACAGCCTATAAATATGAAACTAATCTAATATTATGAATATGGTCAAGTGATGTCGTCGTAGATGTCTTTATATAAACGAAGAAATGGCTGTATTTGCAACGGAATCACTCTTAAAATTTTTTTATTACTATCGAAGTTCATCAGTGACCACTCCACCTTTATTTAAGCTTAAAGATTGTTAGGACCTAAGACATTTTTATATTGTAGCCATCATGAAATATATTTATTTATATATTTCTAATTTCAATTTTTGAATTTTCATTTAATTCGAAGATACTTAAATACTTCGATCACGCTAATAGAATAAATTAAATATATTATTTTTTTCATAGTATATATAAGATAGTATAATATTTCACAATAGGTAATCAAAATGTCATTATCAGCGATCTTCAAAGCAATACCAAAACGCGTATCACATAAAATATATGTAGAAAAATGAACTTAGTGTGAGTGAATGTCAATTTTTAAGCTATTTTTATATTCTGTAGTTCCATCTAATTCAATGTAAGCTAATGTAAAAACAAACGCATCTTATCACATTAGTTAAGATAATAGCGAATTGATGAACCAAACGCAAAAAGAAATATGTAAGTTTCGGCCTTGTATATAACTATTGTGCCGCTGCCGAAACTGTATTGACTATTTGCTAGTATAATTAGTATAAGTAAAGTCACGTCGCTTAGTCGCTAAAATGATTAGAGCGATTGGAAAATCTTGGCGCGACTCTGCTTCACTGATAGTGCTTTCAAAACGAAGTCCAAATGGTATATCGAGTAGTGACACGGGGGATAGTAACTACGATATCTTGTTGCAGACTCGAACAGTTGACGCTTCTTTCTCGAAAGGTGTAGTGTTTCCGGGCGGTGTGAGCGAGGAGGCGGACGCGAGTGAGCATTGGCTTCACCTCCTCAGCTCTTTTGGCTTTGGTCAGAGCGACTTCGAAACTCTGCACCGAGCTGGTACAACCATCACACCAATCTTCGCAGATAACCCCATTAAAAGGTAATGAAATCAATCATTTGTAATGTGATACACTTATCTTAATTATGCTTTGTTTCTTTTCTTTATTTGCTTTCAATACGTTTGATATTTTCAATAATGCTCTTATGCAAAATCACTCCACTACAATGCCAAACATTCTAGAATAATAGTTTTTATTATTTATAGTTTATAATGCAAAATAAGTTAATATAGCTTGTTTTTTTTAAGTAATTTAACTTGACCCTTGACCTGAATGTCTTTTTATATCAAACTAAAACATTATTAACAGACACATTGCATTACGAATTACTGCAATAAGGGAAACATTTGAGGAACTAGGTCTACTAATCTGCAGTTCTAAGCAGAAAGATAATAGAAATGATATATTATGGACAAATGTCATAGCAGATATTGATGTTAAACATTGGCAGAAACGGGTGAGAATATATTTTTAAATAAAAAATGTGGCTCAATTACAATAATGTAATATTAGAATCAAATTATAATATGTCTAAACATCTTGGTTTTTCCTTGCAAATAAATAAACTTGTAACTGTTTATGCAGAAACTGTACTAGCTTGCTTTCCAATACAAATTTAATCCCGATTTTTACCCCCTTAAGGGATGATTTCTGGGATAAAAAGTATCCTATGTCCTGTCCAGGGTCTCAAACTATCTTCTTACCAAATTTCATCTAAATCGGCTCAGCAGATCAGAGATTACCCTCTACAACCTCACAAACTTTACCTCTTTATAATATTAGTATAGATAAGTAATACAGTTTTGTGATAATGTTTATAAGTACTTTCTAAGATACTCGAAGTGATAAACTGATTGATGATTGTTATATTATTCTCTAATTCTTTCTTTCTTTTCTAATCTTAGTTCTCTATGAACTTTCAAACTGTTAAAATTGGCAGTAAAAGAAAGTCTTTATAAATTGAAGAAAAGTTTTTCATTTTATACATAAAAGTAGTATATTGAAGTTTTATTTTTTTAATTGCACTTTGTGAATTTTAGTTCAATTTTATTATAATTTATTACACTATACTCAAAATTCCCATTTACAAACATAGTGAATTTATTGTAGCAATTTCTAATTTGTTTGCATTCTTTATTACATACCAAAAATATTTAAATTTTTTTTTGTTTAGTTTGCCCAAATATAAGAAACCCAAAACTCTGATTATTTCACAGAAGCAAATGATATTTTAATTCATTGAAATTATTCTTTTCAATTGCTTATTCTTATTATATAGTTTCGCTTTGTGGTTACTGTATTTATGTATAATAATATATTTTTAGGTCAGTGAGGATCCTTCCGAGCTTCTCAGTCTATGTAAGGAACATAATTGCTATCCTGACATATGGAGTTTGTACTACTGGAGTAACTGGTTGAGTCCAATTCATATAAAAACGAGGTTTGATACAGCATTTTTTGTAGCTGCATTAGAAAATAAACCAGCTTCTATTAAAGCAAATTCAGAAGTTGTTAATGTTGAGGTATGATCATTATTGACAACTACATTCTTACTTAATTCAAATATCCAAGAGTCATGGCATCTTTGACATGAGAATATTATTATATTAATTTATTACTGTATTGGCTAGCAAGTACGGTTGCGGATTGAAATGATTCAAGTCCCAGATCGGGCTGAATATAATTATTGAATTTTTCTTGTGTAGTGTTGGTGCAAACTCCAGTGCATTATAATTAGTCCTGCACAGTCTGAGACTGAAATTTAACTTGTTCTAGCTGAAAGCTTATTAATAAAATATAACTCTCTTCATATCTAGACACAGTCCTTAAAGAATATATCTTAAATATTTATAACAGCAACTAAATTTGTTTGAATTAAAACAAAATTATTTCAAGTATAAAAAGAATATTTCTATGTATTGTAAAATCTCTACCAACATGCTATATACTACAAGTATTTATAGTTGATACACTATACATATATAACTTTAAATACATACATAATATAAATATGACAATTGAACTATAACATAATTATAAGGTATAGGGATACGTTTGAAATAAATTTACTGTATCAAGTGTATGCAAACAATAGACAAAAATGTAATAAAATAGAAAGTAAGTTTAAAGCATACATAAAAATAAAAAAGCATAGAAGAAAAAGTTATTATGCTTATGAAAAACTGGACGAATGGATTTTTATTTGTAATATATATATATATATATATATATATATATATATATATATATATTTTTTTACAGTGGGCAAGCACATTGGCCACTTTAGAAGCAAACAGACAAAGCAAGTTACAATTATATCCACCCCAAGGATATGAATTGCACCGCTTGTCCAAATTCAATGACCTTGAAAAATTAACCAACTTTGCAAAGGAAAGAAGCAGTAAAGGGGATGAACTATTTTACCCCATGCGTATAGAGGTTAATGATGGCACTTTATATACTTTTCCAGGTAAGTCTTGGATAATGCACCAATATCTTAAGCATATTGCTGTACCTTATTAGGTACACTTTTGAGATAACCCTATTATATTCACATACTGAACCAATATGGAATTATTTTGTGAAATCCAATTACAAAAACAGCTAAAAAGTAAAGTTTATCAGAAGTAAGAATTTATACTTGTCAAATTAAAAAAAACAAATCAGTGAAGCCGGGGCAAGCCACAGTGATTTATAATCTAAGCATTAATATATTTTAGGTCAAAAATTTATGTTTTTTAATGTGGCTTGACTCAAGAAATATAGTTATAAATGATTAAGTTAATAATTCTCTTAATATAATTACTTATGCTCTCATTTCAGGCGACTACCTCTACCCAGCAAATTTAGATCTCATTAATACTCCAGTTGTAAAAGAAAACAAAACTATATTAGAGCTCCGAGGAACTTATAAATCACTACATCGTTTAGAAACGACCCACGATCAAAAGACCGTTCTCGTAACACAAAACTACACTCCAAAGTATCATATCAATATGGGCAACGAAATCACTCCTCTCAATATTAAAGTTCATAATATTAAGTAATTCTACTATTGCCTTAGGTGACAGCTTTACTAGTAAGTACAAATAAGTAAATTTAAAACAATACACTAATAATAGGAAAATAAAGAAAATTGAACAAAATGGCGGGTTCTGGTCACATGTGGCCAAACAGTCAAGATGACTATGAGTTGTTGGAGGTTATAGGCGTCGGCGCCACCGCCGTGGTGCACGCGGCCTTCTGCCGGCCTCGCGGAGAAAAGTGCGCCATAAAACGAATTAATCTAGAGAAATGGAACACTTCTATGGATGAACTCCTTAAAGAAATCCAGGCCATGTCCAGCTGCAACCATGAAAACGTGGTCACCTACTACACGAGCTTCGTAGTCAAAGAAGAACTATGGCTCGTTCTGAGGCTCCTCGAGGGCGGCAGCTTACTGGACATCATCAAACACAAGATGAGGATCTCTAACTGCAAGCACGGCGTTTTCGACGAGGCGACCATCGCCACCGTCCTGAAGGAGGTGCTCAAGGGCCTCGAATATTTCCACCAGAATGGACAAATTCATAGAGATATCAAAGCCGGCAACATTCTTCTCGGCGACGACGGCATTGTTCAGATCGCAGATTTCGGTGTCTCAGCGTGGCTCGCGACCGGACGAGATTTGTCGCGGCAAAAAGTGCGGCACACATTCGTCGGCACGCCCTGCTGGATGGCGCCCGAGGTCATGGAGCAGAACCACGGCTACGACTTCAAAGCCGATATCTGGTCGTTCGGTATAACGGCCATAGAGATGGCGACGGGCACCGCGCCCTACCACAAGTATCCGCCGATGAAGGTCCTCATGCTGACGCTACAGAACGACCCGCCCACGCTCGACACCGGCGCCGAGGATAAGGATCAATATAAAGCGTACGGCAAGACGTTCAGAAAGATGATATCAGAGTGCCTCCAGAAGGACCCCACGAAGAGGCCCTCTGCGACGGAATTGCTGAAGCATTCGTTCTTCAAGAAGGCGAAGGACCGCAAGTACCTCATGCAGACACTGGTGTCGATCGGGCCCAGTATGGAGACGCGCTCGCACAAGGCGAGCAAGCGGCAGCCGGGCACTTCAGGTCGCCTTCACCGCATGGAGACCGGCGAGTGGGTGTGGGAGAGCGATGAGGAAGACGAGGACGACGAGGGCGAGGCGGGGCGCGACCGGCCCATGAACACGCTGCTGCGCGCCGACTCCTCCGACAGCGACAGCGAGGCCGAGCCACGCGCCGGCTTCACCATCGGCGCGCCCGACGCCGAGGACGCGCCTCAGATGGACTTGGTGCTGCGCATGCGCAACGCTCGCAACGAGCTCAACGACATCCGCTTCGAGTTCGCGCCCGGCAAGGACTCTGCCGACGGCATCGCCACTGAGTTAGTGGGCGCCGGACTGGTGGGCGCGGCGGACGCGCCCGCCATCGCGGCGCAGCTGCAGCGCCTGGTGGACGCGCACCTGTTCCCGGGCGGCGCGCCGCCGCCGCGCTCGCTCACGTTCCCGCTGCCGCGCGCGCCGCCCGCGCCCGGCGCCGCGCTCGAGCCCGCCGACGAGAAGGGGCTCGTGGGCTTCGCGCAGATATCCATCGTCGACTGAACTCCCCCCTCGCCCCCGTCGCCGCCGTCTTATGGACAATAATATTGATAGTAGTGAGCCGTATTTTGTAATACCGTGTAATCGAATTTAGTCTAAGTCGAGCTCGCCCGCGGCCGCACAGTAGCTCGTAGCACCGTAACGTTAAGCGCTAAACTATTATATTACGCTATGTTCTAAGTACCTACATATTTTATGGGTGATTAAGGATTTCATTATTAATATCGTTTATAGCTCAAGACGATTAAGGAATTAATTTTAAGTATGAATCTGAATTTATAAGTTTTATATTATCCCTCGTGTTTACTTCGCTGCTTTTATATTCGAAACACTGTAATAGATTTTTATTTTATAATTTATGACGCTCAAATTATTTTTATCGATATGTATGGTATGTTAAGATACTCGTCGCAAAATAAATTGACTATATTAATTACTATTTGCAGAAGTTTAATACTTACGTGTTTTTGTTTGCTCAAGTACATGCTCTGTGTACAATTTGAAAGACAAAGATTTAAAACCATGCTATATTTACGTACATTTGCGCTCGGACACTTGGTTACTACTAGGAATGTGCCATATTTAGATTTTCTAAATATGTATGTGATATAGTTAGTGTAAACTGAAAAAGATAAGAGTTTGTACTGCACAAGCGACTGATACACGTCGGCGATCTTTACAGTGTTGAAGCGAGCAGATGTATACACTATGATGTTTTACGTTGGTTGTTATTTGTTTGTTGCTTATTTTGGAAATATTTTTGAAATAATAAAATGTAAATCTGACTCTTTTAAGTGTTTCATTAGAAAGTAAAGACGGTATGTATTATTTATTTCTTTATTAATTACATTTGTGCTTAAATTAGTTTAACAATAGTATTCCCGAGGCGTTCGTTAAGTGAAAATATCTACATACAAGTTCAAAAGCGGGATGGCATAATATTTTTGGACTGTATTTATAAAATGGATGAAATCGGACAAAAGTCCGATACGTTTTGGCCTCTGCTTTGCCAGTCCTTATAAAAATAAGTTTCACCAAGTTCTGCTACCTTAATAGTGATCTAAACTAATCTAGAAATATTCAAGTTTCTTAGTAAATAGCTCCATACAAATGCAAAAAGCGGTAAAGGTACAAAAATAAAGTTTAAACAGGTACAAAACAACATAAGCGTGTTGGTCCACTTATTTGACATGGCAACACTGAGAAATGCTGAAAAATATTAATATTTACTATTTAATTATCTGTAGCAAAGGTCTCTACGCTATTATCATACAAAATAACGTAGAACTGTACAGGAGTAAATTTTTATGTCTACTTTTTAAATGCAAAATTACATACCAAAAATTGCTTCTCATATAAATGTCGCCTTAGTCTATTGTAGTAAATAATTATGATAATTTGATATATATGTTACCGGCCAATTACCGGCCATCCTAAGTCACCATACTGCAGCCGAATAATACCTCAAAATAAGTTGTTAAGCGTTTAGCCTGAGTTTAGGCCAAACTAGATTATCCTGGGCCAAGCTAGTATATCCTGACACACTTAAGATGAGTTGGTTTGGGCTAGAACAAACGAGTTTGGTCGGTAATATATACATTTATATTTTATATACTTGATAGAACGAAATAACATCGGTTTAAGTAGGATTTTGTATACATTAATTTAAATCTGTATAATTAAAAAAAATCAATCTACTAGATGTTGATATCAAATAAAATCCAATTTAGACGGCTTAAGACTTGCTACTGCCATTAGAAACTTCCCTAATAAGCACTTTATAATCACTATTCTGATACTAAAAAACTTTCGGCTTCATTTGTTCTTATTCTCAATGCCATACATCAATCAAAAATGTACTAGATACACAATCAGCAACAAAAAATGTCCTCACCAAATGAGCGCTCATTTGAACACATGCGCGCACTTTTATTCTTATTTTTTTGTGACAATCACTTTAAGCATTGTATTTAAGATTCATTTTACATTGTTGTATATTTATTTCAACTAGAATAATTACCTAAACACAATTGGTGACAATTTAAAGAGAACTTTTGCGTGGGATTGTGTATCTAGTACTTTTTTGATCGATGATGCCATGTAAGAATTCAAATGTTAAATACACAGAAATAGTGTGAATGCCTCTTATATGTGAAATTAATGTAATATAAAGCTTGCCGTCAACATACAAATGGATTTCGTAATTCATATCCACCAGAATAACTCCAAAGAGTACTGATCTTAAAACAATTAAACAAGAAAAACTTTAACATTTGTTTGGTAAATATATTAAAGAGAGCCATTTACATTTGACTGTACATAAACAGAAATAAAAAAACAAATGTAAATAGCCAATGTATTTTAAGACTCATATCTCCACACCTGAAGACTCGTATTCATTGGTAATAAGGACCAGATTGCGGGATGCAGGAGATTTTATGTTGCGTATGCCATGGGATCTGAGGCCCGCATTCGGGGTGAGGGACTATAGTATAATCATATTAGCAATATAGGACTGCCGCTTGTGGGGAATACCCACATTCTGTATATCAACCGAGATAATCGATGAAGCACTTTCAGTAGTAATTTCCGCACATTCGGGGACTCCCCGCATGCAGTATTATAACCAACGAAAATGAGCCTTTATTTATATAAATGAAGTATCGTGTTGTATAACTTAAGAAAATACTTAGCATTTCTTTCGGTATATTTAGTTCTATCAGGCATACCAATTTTAGGAGTATTTTAAAATACTATTATTATGGTAATATCTAAGAAGTACAAAATAATGTTGAGTTAAAATAAACGGTTATTTGTAAAGAAATTTACGTACTATTTGATAATGCTATTTACAGTATATGGTAGGTGTAACTAAAACAAAATGCCAAAATAAAACTGGAATACATAACAAATATATATATCTATATTAGGGTGGCGCAAAAAAATCTACATATTTTTTCGTGTCTCGTATGAAAATATTTTAGTTTTTCATGGTTTTAGAATCCTCTTCAAAGATTAGCTCTAAAACATTTTTTTAAGAATCGCTGAAGAACTCGCTTGGAAACATCAAAAACAATGTACTTAAAAATGTTCATAAATTCTGAGCAAGCTTTAAAAACATCAACATTTTAAGCTGTATCTTTGAGGTAGTTACTATTTTTTAGATACTAAATTTTACCGCAGCGAGAAAAAAAATATATTTTAACCATTTTTAGAATTTTTAAAAAGATTTAAAAAAAATATCTGCTTTATTTTGCGCTACCCTAATGTATATACATTCTATTATAATAAGACCTCGTAACATTTTGACGACAATTTCGACCATGTTTCATAAGAGTACAAGTAGAAAAAATATAAAAAATAAATCCAGATGACATAAGGGCCTAATATAAACGTGGCACACCTACGCTATAGAAGAGTTTATACATTGTGACTAGGCAAAGAAGCGTTTAGGCTGCACTGTAACCACCTAATAAGGCAATAACTATTAGTGCTTACTCGTACACGTTACATTTAAATATTAATGAAACAAGTTTTTAACAAGTTTACACTATTACTTCATCGGACAATAATTGTTAAATTTGTTAAAATAAACAATAAATGTATACTAAATTATAATATAAAATAAATAGTTTCGAGACATAAGAAATTAAATAGTATTTTTTAACAAAAACAAGTTCTATGGAAACGTATTATAAGTAAAACCTCATTGGGTATTTATATTTCAAATCTGTGGAAATTAAGCCAGGCGAGAGTGAGCCGCTAGTTATATTTTGCATATTTATAAACAAATTAGTAAAAAAAGCAATCTTTGAAGATAGCAAGACAATAACAAATGTTACTATGGCAACCTAATGCAAGCGGTTACTATGGCAACCACGGCGGACTTTCACGACCTTGAAATTTTACTCTCGTGCGCGCAAAGAAGTTTCACTGCAAAAAATTATATATATTCCATGATAAAATCAAAAGTTGTTACAAAAGCCACATTTCTATATTAAATGCATTAGAACAAGTAATTTACTAATCGGTAAATGTAATACATATTTTTTTTTACAATAGATATTGGAATGTTAATAAAGCAAAAATAAAGTATATAATATTCAAAATAAAATCTTAATTATTTTAATTTGTACATTTTGCCTCTAGCAACATATTTTAAGTACATGCTGAGAACAAACATAAATTTAATAAATCAATTACATATAACTACATTTCCATTGATAAAATAAAATATATTAAAAAAAATTCAGGTACACTTAAAATATCACAAGAGCGTGTGCGCGAGAGCGAAGAAAGACAACATATTAATATTAGTGTAATCTTAAACATTAAAATCAAATATAGTTAAATGCTACATTAAATGCAAAATTGGAGATTTAAAAACGTGTCCAAAACATTTGACACCGCAGAATTGACGCCGTCTAACATTCCTACGCTAAAACTCATCTAAACCGAGACTCAACACTCCTTACAACAATGATAGGCCTAACCTTCAAATAAATAATATGTACCAGCACCGGTTTTAGGTCTAAACATTCTTTTTTAACTTCTTCATGTCGTTTGTATTTTAGTTATACTTCTTTGGCGTAACAGAACAAAAATAGCTAAAAATTTCATCTTGTATGTCACAACTCTGTAAAAGGAATGCAGCTAGCTTCATCATGTCGCTTTTTGGCTGTCGGTGTGCGCGCTTATCGTAAAAATTTTACTTTCATATTTTTTTCCAAGCGTGCAAAAAAAAATACAACTTGAAAAAAACATTTTTCCTTGAACATAGTGTATAGCATTATTTTCTTATTTAATATTTCTTTTATTTTCAAGGATAGATTCAAAATTGCAATATATTTTGAATAAAATGTGACACCAGAAGCCAATAGATTTGTAGGATGTGGTATTTTATAATCCTTTACCTAATTTGTGCGATTTTAGTAATCTTGATGAAATAATAGGCATTTGGGAATCATCTAAAACGATGATATTTCACTGAGCATAACTTGTGATATCATTCGAAGCGTGCATTTTGAGTGCCATTTAAGTTCTTTAAATATTGCTATTTTTAAAGAGCTCATATATATTTATTCTGTTTACATTTTTCACTACACTGTGTTTAACTTCATATACTGTTATAAACATTAAATCTATAAAAAATGAATGCGAATAATTGATTTTATATACAATACAAAATGTTATGTAAAACTGGAAATGTTCTTTGTACAGGATTAAATATTAAAAAAAAATGAAAATAAAAAAATCTACTCGTCAAAGAAATTACTTTAAGTATGGACTTTTTATTTATACTGCATGCTTTGTTCATATTTTGGGTGTAGCATTAATTAGTATTTCCTTTTCCATTCTATCCACTAAAGCCAGTACTAGTACCAATCAAAATATATCAAACAGCAAAATCTAAAAACTACGGAATTCAAATTTTACTTCGATCAAATCCAAAAAGAACCTTTAAGAGGGACTTTTAGGGAGTTTAAAAATTCATGAATGAAAAGGCCAATCAATATCCAAGAATAAAAGAGCGAGACCGCAACATCACGTCACAAAGCGGTCCAATCAGAAAAGTTCTATCACTTTCCTCTTTAAATACTCTTTGAGGGGTGTATAATAGTGGTGTCGGAGGGAGACTAGCTCGGGTTTTCTTTTGAGAGGTCGCAGGAGGGTCCAATCCGTTTCGAATACCAGGAGTGCAGCGATCGCGAGAGATAGCCACACGAAGAGGAAGGAAGGGATGAATGCTCGGAAGAGGCTGAAGGGGCGCGGCGGGGGCTGCAGCGCCGGCCGCCAGTCGTCGGCGTGCGACGCCTGCGACACGTACGTCACGTGCGTCGCCGCCGACTCCGTGGACGAGTGCTCGAACGGATCCCGCGAGCTGTACTCCGGACACGCAGCTGGAAATTGAAGATGAATAGTTTAATAGATGTTGGATATGATACAATTTTGTACACGACTCGCGAATCCAAAGTAATTTTTTTTTTTAAATCTTACTGATACAGATACCTAAAACTGTGCTTAAAAAACAGAAATTTCTAAAATTTTATATACATATATTATAATAATTAAAGACGTAGTAATATTGTAATTAATAAAGTACCTAATACTATTGATAATAAATGCACTCGTGATAATCGAATTCTCTGCCGGCGAATCGCTAAGCTAACCATTACTGATTAAGTCACTAACTTGTGTATGATGTTTATGAAAATGTAGATCAAAGCATCAACGGACGAGCAATCAATCCTGAAAACTGCCACTATGGAATATTAGTAATAAACGATACATATACTTTATTGCATATCCACAAATAAAATTAATAAACTATCTCCAGACTAAAGAATTATATAGGCGGACTCCGTCAAACTAAATGTCAAAGTTCAAAATAGTAGCGTGATTTGCTATTTATACTACTAATCTCTATTTTGCCATACAAATTATTATTTAGCATAACATTAGCTATTTTTTTCTTCATTATAATAAAATACGTGAACTATTTTTATTTATTAACATTAATTATTTACTTATCGCTCAATATACAAATCTTCATTCGTATACTATTTTAAAACATTGTTTGGCTTCATATTTAGTTCAATGACACTGTTTATATTATATACTATTTGTTAATAGTCTAAGTACACAATAAAAACATAATCGGCCGTATCGCTAAAACAGCGATCTCTTCCAGGTAACATTAAGGATAAAAATAAGCCAAAGTAAGAACAATGACCACCAAGCTGACTGACCACACTGACCTGGCTTGCCATCGTCACGATGGTCGCGGTGGTCGCGATGGTCACGATGGTCGCGATGGTCGCGGTGGTCGCAGCAGGCGAGCGCGATGTCGACGGCGGGGCCGGCCAGCAGGCAGCCGCCGGCGCACGCGTCGTCGCCGCTCTCCTCCAGCGGCGCGCTGTGCGTGGACCGTGGGAGGCTACTGTAGCCTGCACAGAAATATATACATATATAATACTTTCTTAGATTTACGCGAATATTTGACATTTTAAATAAAACTTTATTGTAGATTTGGATTTATTATTGTGATGACTGTCTCCCGTGATCATGATTGCTGTAAAAAGCATTCGAAGGGTCGAGAAAGAAAAATCAAAATAAATCCACTTGCTCTTATTTACATATTTTATGTTGCTCCTGGCTATTTTTACTAAAAACAAAATAATTTATTTTGTTTAGCCGAAAGAACTCTTTTCCTGTACTTGTTACCCTTGTCCTGTACTTGTTTTCCTGTACCTATTACTGACAAATTAGTATCAATCGAAAGTAAAAGATTCGTAGAAAATGCTATCATATGTTTGGAGGCCTTTTCGATCACATTTGACATCCATACTGTTTTCCAGAACGAATCAAGTATCAAAATGTAGATAGTTTTATAACAAATTTAACGATTTAGGTTTGTCATACCAAAACATCTTCAGACTAGAGAATTTTTAGTAAAAAATACCCTGGAGCAAATTTTTGATGACAATCCCCCTGGGTCGTGTTTGTCAATATGTTTTATAATAATTATGTGTTTAAATAAGGTAATAAATCATATAATGTGAATTACTCAATTTTGTTGTATAAAAGATAAGGCGACACCTAACCTGCTGACATGGTTGACCCGCAAAAAGATATATTTTTAGAGGCCAATCATGTCAACAGATGCGGCGTCGTCATCTTGCGTACTTGAAGAAGGTAACTTAAAGTGCTTGAGGATTTCCTGAAGGTCATGATAAAAATATTGATAACACGAAACTGTCTTGCCAATTTTTTTTAAATAATACGTGATAATTTAAAAAATCTATCTTTAAGAACTTATAATTATAACCCCACTATAAAAGAAATGCTTAATTATATACATATTTAATCGCTTTTTTAGTATTATATTATGTTCGTATTAGAATAACCACGAACCACATACAAATAAATGAAAAGCTTACAAAACCCCTTTGCAGAGAGCCTATCTAGTCTATAAAAAAATGTAAAAACCAATTACCGAAGTCCCCAGTCATAGGCGTGGAGGGGGTTGCCGGGACACTGGACGCTTTCCTCTTGCCTCCTGCGCTGGAGCCCTCGTCCTGGGAGTCCCGCGGGGAGAGGAGACCGTCCCTCTCCAGGATCTCCCTCTCGGTCCTCCCTACGTACTTGAACTTGGTGCCCCACGAGAACAACCCGCCACCGGAGTACACGCATGCGTCACTCGACGATGGTAACCTGTGGTGCCAAATTTTATTACGTTCACACTTTTTAATATATTCTGACTTATGTATGTTTTGCGGAAAAAATAATAACGAATATAATGAAAAGATACATGTGTATATATTTTTATTTATACATACGTATAAAACAGCATCTGTTCTATAGCACAGCACCACACGTGGCGACACGCGGCGCCGCTTGGACATTTGAATCCTACTGTATGTTTTTTCTGAAAACAATTATGGAGAACATGAAAACAAAATTATTATTGAAAATCACAAACATAATTTAAGGAAAGACATAGAAGAATAGGCTTTACTTTATGCGAAATTAAATTGATAATTGTTAATTTTTCTCGAGTGACCAATAAATAGTTTGAGTCTTAATAGAATATTCAAGAATCTGTCCCGTAAATCCCATGAATATTATAAATGCGAAAGTTTGGATGGACGGATGTTTGTCACTCAATCCAGGGCTCGGAACCGGTCTAAAAAAATGGTTCATTTCGGTAATTTAATGGTTAATTCATCGCTCGTTCTTTAACCGGTTAATGAAAACGAACGGTTTAGTTAACCGAAATAATAAGGGTTAAGGGTTATTCTTAGATAAAGTTTGGATTTCGGTTTTGATACCGAAATAAACCGGTTAATTCATTCATAAGTAAGAAACGTACGTAGAAGCCTTTCACCATTAGCAAAGACGCGCCAAATGTAAATACACAAAAACTCATTTTTACTGGTTAGTTTTGTTCATGGAATCTAAATTCGTCCGTCGTAACCGGTTAAAGAACGTAACCGAAACCTTAAACCGAAAAGCCTTTCGGTTTGGGGTTAATGACCAAAACCGGTTTAAAAATTGAACGGGTTTCTGAGCCCTGACTCGAATCACGCCAGAACGGCTGAACGGATCTGTATGAAATTAGGCACAGAGATAGATTATAGTCTGGAATAGCACATAGGCTACTTTTATCCCGGAATAATGTACGGTGCCCGTGGAATAGATTTGTTTTTGTTTTTCACAGAGCAAGTGGACGACTATCTATTCCATATTAACTGTAAAAACGTGCTTTCGTCCACTGCTGGACATAGGCCTCGCTTATGCCACATCACTCTTATCAATGTACATAACATTTATTAATAATAGCAATAAACTCACTTCAGGATAGTTCAAGTGCACAATAAACATGCGTCCTTCGAAGTTTATCTTGTGCACTTCTGACCACTTGAAGTGATGGGTCTTGCGACTCCCCTGGAACGTCAGTATGCCGCTGTGGTTGATGCCTAAGTACAATTGATTGCCTCTATGGTCCTGAAATATTGGAAACGAAATAATTTAATGTAACTGGAAATTATATTTATAATCATTTTTTTAACAAAATTAGTGTGAAATTTTACATAATTATAATAAAGGAAAAGCAAGCAGGAGTTATTTATTAAAAAGGCATTTTTTCACTATACATAACCTCTTGCAAGTCGAACTCGCTTTAACTTAAAACTCATCTTTACCTATATCACAGTAAAAAAACCTCTTTTTATAATACTAACTAAAGATTCATATTTAAACAAAAAAATAAATAAAGAATCTTAAATATTTAAAACATTTTGTGTAATAGATGTTTGTTTAGAATAAAAAATTCAGCTTTAGTATTTAATGACCTAAATAAAAGTTTCAACTTTCAAGTGTGCATTGTTTGGGGATAGTGCTAAGAGCACAAGTGATCTCGTTATGACACGTCTCAACAAAGGCCTATTGTTGAAGGCGCGTTGTGGTTCTCCCCACAAGCACCAAGTCATTTAAGGTATTCTTTTACTTACTTTCTTTCAATAGCTTTCTATTCTCAATTACTAAAAAATTAACATCTTGTATAGATTTGCTTTAGCCAATAACCATAATTTAATTAATTTTAGTACAAAATCTTCATGATTTCCCACTTATACAAATTGAACAACTAAATAACAATTGTAAATACAAAGTGAATGATAATTTTATTCGTTGCTAGCAATTCAACCTCGCTTCGCTCGGGTTCGTCCCTACGTCGCTTCTCCTTACAAACTTTCACCCCCTTATGGGAAGATTTCTGGGATAAAAACTACCCTCTGTCCTTCCCGGATTTAATTAATTGAAATTTCATCTAAATCGGTGTAGTTTCGGATCCTATTCGATACAAACAAATAAACAAAAAACAAATTTTTCTTCTTTATAATATAAGAATAGAAGAATAGATATAAAAATGACTTTAATATCGTAATAAAATAAGTAGACAAAAAGAATCATATTACATTTACACCTGAGTTACCTGCGTTGGAAAGGAAAGGGCGAAATCATCAAAGCACATGGAATACAAACCCAAAAAAGCCAACGGCTGCGTCATACAGACTTGTTAAATAACCTACAAAAACTAATTTAACAAGAGAAAAGCAGGTATACATGTATATAAGAATTTGAAAATTTACTTGTTCTAACATTTACAGCAATAATGACTTACTTTAACTGGATGTGGATCAACACCATACGTGTCGAGCTGGCAGGCTATCTTGAGGAAGGTGCGTTCTGCCTCCTGTGTGGACATGCCCTTAACACCGTCAGTGCCGCCCGGCGTGCCTTCCATTGGCTCTCTATGTAGCTCCTTGGAGATTAAAATATTTATTGTAAGACATATTTTATTATGTAACTATAAACAGAGTTTATAAATAAATATATACGTATGTTAGGACATTAACACACGCCACTATCTAGTTCCATGGTAAGTTACGAGCCCTGTGTTATGGATACCAGATAGTTGATACACTACACATTTTAATACATATATATTATAAATATAAACGCCCATGACTGGAGTACAAACATTCGTGCTTATAACGCAAATGAATGCCCCCAGCGGGACTCGAACCCGCGGCCGCTGGCACAGAATGTAGGGTCACTACAAACAGCCAAACATGTCATCAATTTATATAGGTAGGTACCTAATAAAAATATGACAGCAGAAAACAATTAGTTACATTGAACAAGAGGTTAAAGCACGTGGCAATGATCTCGTAGAGTAGATATAGAAGACAAACCATTGGTAGAAAATTATATATTGTTTTTATAACGATTTTTAAATAAAGCCAATATTATAAGCTAAAATCTGTATAAATATTATAAATGTGAAACTTTGTGAGTATGTATGGATGTTTGTTACTCTTTCACGCCAGAACTGAACAGGCTGAACGGATCTAGATTAAATTTGGCACAGAGATAGATCATAGTCTGGAATAACACATAGGCTACTTTTTATTCCAGAAAAATGTACGGTTCCCATGGGATAGATTTCTTTTTGATTTTCCAGAGGCGAACCCGAGCAAAGCGAGGGTGAGCTGCTACTATAAAATATTTTAATTTTTAATTGAATATGAATAATCGTAATATTATTTATGTACCTATACAATATAAACATGGATTCTAAATAAAACTATCTTTACAAAGGGCACCTATACTCAGGGTAGGTGCCCGTTCAAACATTCGAAACGTCGCGTCGGGAACCAAAAATCAAAAAAGACGAAAAAAGTCGAATTATTAAAAAGTCAAATATCAGCGTAAATCTAAGAAAGTATTGTGTGAAACATAGATAGGTACTATATGTGCATCTATATGCATTCTACTTTGATATTACATTATTATATTGAGATGTAAAAACTTGTACAGCTCATGGTCACGGCCCAGCCGTTATCAATCATTCATTTATGCATCACTAGTTTAAACTACATCAATAAAATCATTACCCACGTGCATATTATTGGCTGATTCGAGGTTATAAATAGAATTCGAATCAATAGTATAATTTATATAATACTAGCAGAACCCACGGCTTCGCTCGCGCTAAAACTACAAAAAAATCTCTAAAAGCGTAGTTTCATACAAACTTTCACTCCCTGTTTTACCCTCTTATAGGATGAATTTCGAAAAATGCTAAAACACGTATTTATTTAATTCTATGAAGAGTTAACTACTAATACCAAGTTTCAAGTAATTCTGATCATAAATATTTTTTGGACTGTATTATAATGTGTTTTCCCGTGGGAATTATATACTCTACCGCGGTAAAAAGTAGCCTATGTCACTCTCCAGCCCTCCAAATATCGACACACAAAAATTCACGCCAATCGGTCATTTCGTTTTGACGTGAAAGAAGGACAAACAAACAAACAAACAAACAAACAAACACACTTTCACATTTATAATATTAGTATGGAAGTATGGATTTATGTGTTCTCATTCAAGGTACATTACTCACTGTCAATAATATTCCCAAAAGAGTGAGGACGAAATGACCTAATGAAATATTATGCAATAAATGCGAAGCCATGGAAAAAATGTTATTAAAACTTTTTTATTCACTATTCACAAGACAGTACAATATAAACAAAAATTGGTCCAGTATGAGTGGATTCACATGGCTCCTTCACATTTAGGTTAAAAAATAAATAAATTTATTGTTTAAAGATGTAGCCTTGTAGGGAACATTATGAGAAATTAAATATGTAATACTTTTCATATAAACTACAAAAGACAATTAGAACATAATAAAAATTACAGATTTGTTTTTCTACATAAAGAACACCCAAAAATATAAGAATTTGCTGAATTAAAATTATATTTATTTGATTTTTTTTATTTTAACTATAACTAAATAATTATTAAATATTAATGATTAGCAACAATGTAGGTTACCTGGATCCTAGCTTCAATCGCATCAGTCTGTCTTAGCAGAAGTCTCATTTCAGTCACATAGTTGCCTACATGTATACTTGGATCATAATCACCAAGTTCGACTGAAAAAAATATGTTATGCAATAGAAAAAGCATTTTATATAATTCTTGATGATTAAAGAGTTTAGGGTCTGATTTAATTAATTGTTGTATTGAACTTGAAACTTTAAAATTTTATTATTTTATACAGTAATATACTTAATTTAAATATTTATATAAAATCTGTGAAACATGTTGAAATTTACCATAAGAAATAGTGTATACTTTTTTATATTTAAGTTTTTTTTTAATAAATTTGTTATTACTCATAATGTATTCATAATGTATGATGCAGTGGTAGCCCATTGGTAACGCGCTATTTTGGAAAACCGAGTGATGCGGGTTCTAATCCCGGGCCTCGCACCTCTGATATTTTCATGTGCGAATCATTTCCAACATAATTACCACTTGTCTTTGGATAAATGAAAACATAGTGAGAAAACCTGCATGTCTGAGAGAACCTATGTAGCAAGTTTACGAAAGACATGTGAAGTCCGTCAACCTGTACTAGGCCAGAGTGGTGGACTATAGCCTAATACTGATCGCCCTCGTATTAGGAGGCCTGTGACCACCAGTACATTACGTATTCAAAACTACTAAATGTCCCACTGCTGAGCACAGGCCTCCCTTCAATATACGGGAAATCAATCAGGCCATAGTTGCACAAGTCTTTCAAAAATTTGCTAGGTTCTCTCAGATATGCTGGGTTTCCTCATGATGTTTTCCTTCACTGTAAGACACTGGAATACCACTGCCTGTACTTATTTACTCATAAAAGTATGATACAAATGGTAAAAACGTGCAATACAGACAAGTGCTAAATTGTGAAATGACTCAATATTTAAAAAATGTTATGAAATTCCTCATATTTAAATGTAACTATTGATTTTTTTGTGGAGAAGTTCTTTAGAAAAGAAATTAATTAATAGCATATATCATCAATTAATTAAACATACGTGAATTAATCTATACAGAAATTAACAATTATTCGAAAATGTTTTATAATATTTAATATATAATATTATAATGGTATTAAATTCAAGTGTCATTTAATAAGTGTAACTATTTTTCAGGATTATTGTCTCATAAGTATATGAACAATGTGTTTAAATTTTCTGTAAGACAATATGTATACTTTGTATCGTTCACACACATTCATCACATGTTAACCTAACCTTAATGGACATCTTAATGTTCAACGAAATCCCATAAACACGTATAACTTAATTATTGAATGCATAAATATTTATAAATAATATGGTTTTCATATCATTAATAAATAACATCTAACTCTCATTAAAGTGTATTACATTTAAAAACAATTATACAACATATTGATTGATATTGCAAACACTTCATATTTTGTTATTGTTATTATTTAAAAAAAGTCTAAAGTGATTAAATATATTTTTCATATATTTGTACAATTAATTACTAAGAAAGTACTTACTCTGTATAATGAGAGCGCCAAGCATGGCAGCTTCATTGGCAGTACAATAAAGTCTTCCATGAAGTAAATCTCTTTTAAGTTGCAAGTATATTTGAAACCTTGTTACATCCTCTTTTAACAGTAGTGGATTGGGTGGATAAAATTTTACTCGAAAACTAAAAAGTATGGGTGAAGCATCTAAAACATGGAAGGTTGCATTAAATCCTTTTTATCTAAAATATCTTTAATGAAAATATGAAATAATTTTAAATATTTTAATATTAATAATAATTATTTCCTTTAAAGTACACCCAGTAAACAAGAGAGAAGATAAAATTCAAAATAAATGGAAAATGTACAAGAGGTGGGCTTATCACTAAAAGAGTGATCTCTACATTATATATAAAAATATTTATAAATAAAGAACTAGGAACAGTTTTATTGTATAAAAATCCTGTCATACTTTAAAAATATCTGAATTACCTTTTACTTGCTTCAATATCACTTTGGCTAAATGTAACCAGTGCTGAAATATAACATAATATTTTAATAAATATAACATTTAAAATATAACATTAAATATATTCAAAAATTGAAGAACTAACCCTCTGCCCCCCAGCATCAACATAGCGCAGGCCAAAATAATCGGTTTCAAGAAGATTCAGTTGTTGGCAAACATGTTCTAATAGAAATTTGCCTTTATAACTTGGCTATAAAAAAATGTTTTAGTAAATTAATAGAATATTTAAAAAACCGAAATGAATGTAGTCAATAATGTATTTACTATACTACAACTAAATCATTCAAGATGTATACAGATGTTACTCCTTAATTTATTAAAATATGCAACAAAAAATCAAGGTAGTTGCACATATATATATACAGACACTCACATGAAATTCGCATTCTAATATTTCTGTATCTTCTAATAATCGTACAGTGCATTTATAAACAATATTACTATCACCACGACTTTTGAACATGCTGAATATTTGGATTTTATAATTTTTAATTTAGATTTAGGGCTACAGTGTTAGCTAAGCATTTTAAAGCATTTTTATCATTTTACAGCATTCGCCACATTCTTTTAAAATAAATTAGGAAGGAAAATAAGTTTCCTTCTCTATTTGGGAACTATTTTTAATTCTAAATTTTTGCTAGCCGACTCGTCAAATTTGACGCAAGACTACCACAGAAACATAATAAATAATAATTAATAAGTAGAAGATATTAATATTCAAAAAAATATATCAAATATTTTCTTGTATGTTTTAATATGCGTAAAATATTTATTATTAACTAATTAGATTTGTTTTTGTTTAATTCGTATTTATAATTTAACTTATAAGCACTCTCAATTAAGACGCAGTATTGACTATATTTGAATACATTATCTCTTTGAAGGTACTTGTTCTTTATTTTTTTATGATTGAACCAAACCTGTAACCGAGTTATCAAGACCTATAGAATTTTACATATTTTTCACATATAGATTAAAATTAATTAAGATTAAGAATTGATGACAGCCATGGAGAATAGTAAAATTCGTATATTGAATTAGAGCAGTAAGTCTTCAGTGGCTTTTATGAAATACTGAGTATTCACTGCTCTGAATAAGCACGGCCTTAATAAAAAGGCATTTTATATATTCATAATGATCTTAACGATAGTAAATCAGCAACCCATATTCATAAAAAGACTTCAAAATGCCTTTCATCCGTTAAATAACTACTAACACAACAAACAAAAACTTTACTTCGAATCTTAAGTTATTTAATGGGATCTTAATTTATAACACAAGAAAATTTTATCTAAGAATTGGAAGTTTCTTCAGTCTTTATTAAAATCGTTTAGTTCAGTTATGTTTTACATAATTTTACTAATTATTTTAGATATAGTATAAAAAGTTTAAAAACTAAAAAGTGACATTCAAGATGAAGTGATAACTTACAATGTTTGAATGTATTTACAGTATTTAAGTAATTTTGTAATATTTATATTGTATTGTAGATAGGTATCTAAAATATACCTCAATTATTTATCTGTGAAAAACTTTTTTTCTAAACGATAAGCAGGATATGACGTTATAAAATTCAATGTGGCCAGTAAGTGAAAGTAATTTTATTTAAAGGGAAAATTAAAATAAAATGATAAGTGTTATTGATACTAATTATAGTAAAACAAAATGTGAAAGCCCTCTGTCATTACCTTGTTACGCTTAAATCGCTGAAAAGATTTCGATAAAATTTGGCAAGAACTTAAATTGCATCGTGGGGACGGACATAGACTACTTGTAATCCTACTTACCACGTGAGCGAAGCCGCGTTTAAAAAAACTAGCATTATATAAATTGTATATTTTTGATATCAAAATTCAATCTATGAATAATATTGAATTATAAAAACTAAACAAACGCAACTATAACTTACAATAACGTAAGCATTATAATTTAAAATTGAATTTAAATATCATTTCATTTTTAACAATAAATTATGATTCTATGAAACCAGCTTTGGCCTGCGGCTCTGATCTATCTGTAGCTTGACTATATTTATATACAATTGCTCTACTCGATACAGCGTAAACTTAATAGTCTATAAACTTTTTCAATAAACACGCTATATTATGCGAAAAAAATTTTTGAAGAGCGATGTAATCATTAAATGAATATTGTTAAAACATAATTTACTTGAAATATTTTTTATACATTATAAATATAATTTCTTTTTATTAAAAAAATTGCATCTTTGTATTATTATTTATTTTATTGGGGTATATAATTTATTGAATCATTAAAATATTTTATTGAATATTAAATTTTATCCTAACACCATCTGTACTATCTATTTTCACTAATATTATAAAGAGGTAAAGTTTATGTGTTTGTGATATTATAGTGGGTAATCTCTGGATCTACTAAACCGATTTAGGTGAAACATGGTAAGAAGATAGTTTGAGACCCTTGGAAGGACAAGGTGAAAATGGGGATGGAAGTTTGTATGAGGAATCAAGCTAGGGATGAACCCGAGCGAATAAAATATTATTTTAGTTTTTCAATTATGTTAAGATAAAAAAAATATACATGTCCTGTCCTGATTATTTAAAACATAAACAGAATTTCATAAAAAGTATCGAAAACCTATAGAAATTTCATTAGCACATGTGTACACATTGATACACGAACCCTTTTTTTGTTTAAGAACGAAGAGTTAAGGTATAACAGATGGGTGGAATATGTTCGATATCGAATCAGATCTATTTGGACAAACTTAAAGTTCACTGATAAATAACAATACCTACCTATATACTGAAACTGCTTTTATATAATTTACTCTGCGTGCATCCATTCCATACTCATATACATGTCGTGGACAGTGAACACCGGGTGAAATTTCCTTTTGAAAAATCTGATCTGACATCAAATGAAATCCGATATTCCATTTACAACTGTAGATATATTCATTAATAAGTATTTGTTTGAAAATTAAAAAGAAATAGCTTAATGTAAATGTTATTTGGAATAAATTATAGTTCAAATGGATAAAATATTTTATGTAATAATTATTATTTTTGTATTTGTATTTAGTTATTAGTGTGGCCACACTAAAGAACGGAAGTGACTACGATCCTTTCCTTCCAGGCGAAAGAAAAACCATTTCTCGTCCATTCTGTTGGAGTCTTTCTCGGATAATACACGCTATCCGTGGTGAGTGTCAGGTTTAAAGTGAAGTGCAAATCTCAAAGTGAATAGTATCTTCCATAATAATTTAAAATTTGTGTTAGTATTGAGCATTATTTATAGCGTAATATTCGTTTATGTAAAAGTTTTTAATAGTTTTCGTAATCATGGTGTAATTGTTGAATATTGTAACTTTTCTTTGTGTAGTTATCATTGTTCCTATACGATATTGTAATTAAAACGTGGAACAAGTTAATATTCATTTGTTTGATTAGTTACCGGCTCTTTTACTCAGTTCCACCTTTAAATTTAACTTGCTTACGCGTCATACATCGTTAGCGACCGGCACATGTTACCACGTGGTGGTGAATAATTTTTGTATTTGTTGGTAACATATGTTACTTTTTTATATAGAAATCTTAATAATTTAATAACAGATCCGAGTTTTCTAATGTTTTATTAATTTGTTTCTTTTAACCATAATGGCGGATATCCATTGTGAAGTGTCAAGATAGGGCGAGGCGGCCATGCGGCCGCCATATTGCCGGTCGCGCATATCCGTACATGAGGCTATGACCTTGCGTTTGTGCATCACGATCGCGTATCCCTGTTTTCGTCATATATTTCATTAATATTTCTAATAAGGGTATTTTTTTTCTTTTTAGACTAACCAAAAATGGGCAAGGAAAAGATTCACATTAACATTGTCGTCATTGGACACGTCGACTCCGGCAAGTCCACCACCACCGGTCACTTGATTTACAAATGTGGTGGTATCGACAAACGTACCATCGAGAAGTTCGAGAAGGAAGCCCAGGAAATGGGCAAAGGTTCCTTCAAATACGCCTGGGTATTGGACAAATTGAAGGCTGAACGTGAACGTGGTATTACTATTGATATTGCTTTGTGGAAGTTCGAGACCAGCAAATACTATGTCACCATCATCGACGCTCCCGGACACAGAGATTTCATTAAGAACATGATCACTGGTACATCACAGGCTGATTGCGCTGTACTCATCGTCGCCGCTGGTACTGGTGAGTTCGAAGCCGGTATTTCTAAGAACGGACAAACTCGTGAGCACGCTCTGCTCGCCTTCACACTAGGTGTCAAGCAGCTAATTGTTGGAGTTAACAAAATGGACTCTACTGAGCCTCCATACAGCGAACCTCGTTTCGAGGAAATTAAGAAGGAAGTATCTTCTTACATCAAAAAAATCGGATACAACCCAGCTGCTGTCGCTTTCGTACCCATTTCTGGTTGGCACGGAGACAACATGCTGGAGCCATCCACCAAAATGCCCTGGTTCAAGGGATGGCAAGTGGATCGCAAGGAAGGTAAGGCTGACGGCAAATGCCTTATTGAGGCCCTCGACGCCATCTTGCCTCCAGCGCGTCCCACCGACAAGCCCCTTCGTCTTCCCCTGCAGGATGTTTACAAAATCGGTGGTATTGGTACAGTGCCAGTAGGCAGAGTAGAAACAGGTGTCCTTAAACCTGGTACCATTGTTGTTTTCGCTCCTGCCAACATCACCACTGAAGTAAAGTCTGTTGAGATGCACCACGAAGCTCTCCAAGAGGCTGTGCCTGGAGACAATGTAGGTTTCAACGTGAAGAACGTATCAGTTAAGGAATTGCGCCGTGGTTATGTTGCTGGTGATTCCAAGAACAATCCACCCAGAGGCGCGGCTGACTTCACAGCACAAGTCATTGTACTCAACCACCCTGGTCAAATCTCCAATGGTTACACACCTGTATTGGATTGCCACACAGCTCACATTGCCTGTAAGTTTGCTGAAATTAAAGAAAAGGTTGACCGTCGTTCTGGTAAATCAACTGAAGAAAATCCTAAATCCATCAAATCTGGTGATGCGGCCATCGTCATCCTCCAACCTTCCAAGCCCCTCTGTGTGGAAGCTTTCCAAGAATTCCCTCCTCTCGGTCGTTTTGCCGTGCGTGACATGAGGCAAACTGTTGCTGTCGGTGTCATCAAGGCTGTCAACTTCAAGGAAGGTGCAGGCGGTAAAGTGACCAAGGCTGCTGAGAAGGCCACTAAGGCAAAGAAGTAGCTAGCACTGTCAACAGCTCAATTCTTTATCCAACTGCGATACTTCATTCACCGAAAGGTGTTCAGAAGGAAAAAAGGGCTACAAACTCATTCCTTTTCTATATTTTTTACAAGGCTTATACTGTAACATTATTTTATAATTTATAAGGTTATACATATATCTGAAATATTTTGTTACGACTACAACTGAAATGTAAATTCATAGAATAAAGTAGCCTCCAGTAATAATATAATTTTGTTTCATTACCTTTCTCTAGCTTAATATGAAATTTGGTTTTTATTTGTAAAATTGATTTTGAAACATAAAACTTGCATATTTTATTCACAATTTTAACTTTTTATTTTTTACTTAACAGACATTGCTGATTAAATTAATATACATCATTTTAACTATTTAAATTTATTAATTGAAAATTGATAAATAACTTTCATATTTAATAATTTCTTGTAAATATGCATAAAATCCAAAAAATTTTACACGACAAATAAAATGTAGGTTAAAAATATGATGCAACAGCTGTTTACAAAAATATTGCTGTTTCAAAATTTCAGTATGTAACTACTAGTGTATATAAGTAGGATTTTTCTGTACATAATATAATTAAAAGCTCACAATTGAACCATCTTAAGTTTTTGACAGAGTTAGCTTTTTGACACAAATAACATACCTATTTGTAAAGGTAAAAAATTGAAGTTAAAATAGTAATACTTTTTAAAAATTGAATTTATACTGTTCTCAAAATTAAAAAAAGTGAATTCTTATTTTATATCTATAAATTATTTTTTGAGGGGGGATTTTTCCAAAATATAATGAAAAGTAAATCTGTAACCCACTCTTATTTTAATTATTGTAAATGTAGATAGATTGGACTATTTTCTTATTGACCTAGGCGACTTCGTCTGTGTCGCGACTGGTCTGGTGCCCCTAGTAACTAAAACCGAACTAAAATAATGTGATATACTAAGAAGTCAAATTTTAAAAGAATAATGTTTCTAAAACATTTACGCAAGCTTAGCCTGCATGCATGTCTGTAAATACTAATAAATATTAATGTAAACATAGATTACATTTTAATGCATAATATTGTGAAACTGAAAAACGATATCCAACAAGATTAACTCAACTCCAAAGTTTTCATTACTTTAATATCCATATATTATAACTCTCTAGTATAAATTTTATATTACATAGTTATTACTGTTCTGCTTGGATCTCCAGGTGTGTATGTATGGAATAGTCCCCTATTTCTTACACCTCCAGGTCATAATCTATAATTGTCTACAGAATTTCATCAAAATCCAGAATACAAACCTTATTTAGAACAGTACTCTAGAGTAGACTTAAATAACATAACTATATAAAAAAGATTCTCAATGGGAGTTAAAGCTCCTACTTGAAAGTGATTGTGTATATTTTTTAGTAGGATTGTGATAGATACTTCTTTTTATAGATTTGCATCAAATAAATAAATTGATTTATGGATTACTCAATCATGTTAAATAATTTAATATGTAAAAGTTATAAAAAAGAGCATAATTTTTAATTTAAAGATTAATATTAAAATGCAAGGACTAAGAAATTTGATAAAGAACTGGTTCAGTTTAATAAATAAAATTATAACAAATATTCCAATGAATTATTTTATTTACATTTAAATAAAACTATGACAATACAATAGCTTACACTAGGCTACTAATTATATAACTAAAAGAAAAATATTGATAACACTCAAACTTATTGATTTTGGGAATCTTGCATACTTTCTTCTTGTTCTATTATCATGTTAGCGAAATCTTCGGCTCTACGATGCCTTTGTCTCTTCATATATGGTGACAAATACATTTTATGACTTACAGCGAGAATTGAAGTTAGTGAAATTGCCATTAACATTTTTACAGTAGGACTAGATGACTTGAACCATTGTTGTAGTAAACGCATTTTACTGAGTCACCTTAGTTTCAGTATCACTGGTAATTTCTTTTTTCTTTCTAGGGAAATGTGTGTCTAATAATGGTTTCCAGATATAAATTCCACCAAAAAATCCTAGTACTGTTATTAACACAAATTGACCTCTTGTAATACCTCTAGGTTTATATATTTTCATAATTGGTTCCAATTTAATAATTATTAGGAGTCCATTTCAATTTCTTAATAATTATTTGTAATGAAATTCCTAACCTAAAACTGGAAAAAGTTTCGTTCATCAACCATGATATGTCAATTATCAATAAATGACATAAAAATTTGCCTAAAATGTATATACCTATATAAGAGATAACATACGACTAACAATAACAAATTCATTAAATAAAGCAGAAGTAGTAGTATCACGATTTAATATTCATAAATTAGGGAATTTTATTTTACTTTACACATGACACATGGATAATACCATAACGTCCTAGAACCTAGCACATGAAGTTTTTTTACCATGTGTTTACTGTTTATGACAATTGAAGACAGATGACAAGAGATTAAGTTTAGGTTAGAACCGCTATTTTGTAAGTAAATATACAAAGTACAAACAAATATTATTATAATGGGGACTCCTAAAAGAACTGTCCCTAACATATTGATAACAGGTAAAATAATATTAAGATGTAAGTATGATTCTAAAAAGTTATATGTATGTTATATTTTTCTTTCAATGATGATCTTTCTTTAGGAACGCCGGGCGTTGGTAAATCTTCAATATCACGGTTATTGTCGGATAGAACCAAGTTCGAATGGAGGGAAGTGTCAAGACTCGCTGAAGAATACAACTGTCTAGACGAATATGATCCAGAATATCAATGTCCTTTTCTGAATGAAGATAAGGTACTAACACTTACATACATTAATACCTAGGTAGTGTATCATACAATTTGCTATTTCATTTAGATGTATAACTAGTAATTAAGCTTAGATGATTTTGTCTCATGTGCTCTAAATATTCGGTTTGCTTTGTATCTAAAGGACAAAACCTGAAGATCTGTTGCATGCAAATAATGCAACAAATGATACAAGATGTTTGCAATAAATTAAATAGTTATATTGTAGAAAAATTAATACATGAAATTACATATCTGTTTAGCTTTTAGATATTATGGAGGGCATGATGTCTAAAGGGGGTAACATTGTTGACTACCATGGCTGCGAGTTCTTCCCAGAGCGCTGGTTTGATGCAGTTTTTGTCATAAGAACTAATAACACTGCATTATATGATAGGCTGAAGGCGAGGTATGTTAATTTTTTATTATTAAAAAAATATATAATTTATGCTTTTAAAATGTACATTTTTTTGTGTGTGGTGTTTTTTTACTAGAGGTAAAATAAGCCTGTGTTACCACCTCCAATCCAGGTCATTCTATCTGTGTACTAATTTTATAAAAGCTCACCCAGCTATTAATTCATTTCAGAATTAAAAAAACATACAAAGTTGTCTTTATGATGGTGTTATAATAAATTTTATACAAATTATAAGTTTAATAAATACAGATTTAATTTTGGAAACAATCAGTTTATTGCCTGATGTAATTTATAGTATTTAACAAAATTAGACATTAAACTTATTGAAGCATTTTTTATAAATTATGCTTTGTAAATCTATCCACATGTTCATTCCTTTAATGTTCTAAGTGACATTATTTTGTTTATAGGGGATATACTGGCAAGAAATTAGAAGATAATATACAGTGTGAAATATTTGAAACTTTGTTAGAAGAAGCACAGTCTTCTTACAAGCCAGAAGTTATACAAGAGCTATACAATGACACGGAAGATCAATTGGAAACCAATGTTAATATAATTGCAGAGTGGATAGAGAGGTGGAAAGAAGAAAATATGTAGCAACCTAAGTTTTTTTTTTTATAATTTTGGATTTATAATATATTTTTTCGGTTAAATCTTGCGATCATTCTTTCACACTATGAACAGTTGAGATGATTTGGATGGATATCACTTCAACATAATATTCCAACATGATGCATAGCAAGCACCATCACACTCATGAGTATGTTATTTTAACCTTAATACTTTCTTAGATTTATGAAAATATTTGATGGACATTTTAAATAAAACATCTACATTTCGAATGCTTTACAGCAATCATGATCAGTCTCTTCCGTGACCAAAAATCAAAAAAATATCAAAATATTTTACCTTTTAAATATATTTTTTCAAAATTATAAATAATTTAGTGAACATAAAAATCAAGTCATCTTTAAAGAATATTACTTATAAATCAGTATAACTTTTTAAAACTATAATAATAAAAATATATTTTTTTTAAATAAGAGGGAAAAGCCCAAACTTATTTTATCTTTAATTAATCTACAATAACTGTTTTATGTGTTGACATACATAGATTATATATAATGTACATAGATTATAAGGATATGTTAATAAAACAATATATATATAAATATTTTCTTATTTATTTTTATTTTCACTGGCAATTAAGAAATGCATTAAAAATTACTGTATTTCGATCAATATATAAGGGCTTTATCTATGAAAAAACTTGGTGTTATAAAGTTGGCATACATTCAAAGTCATTCATACAAAGTGCCCAATCAAATTTCATTGATAAATCCCAAATAAGTGGACCCACTCATATAAAAACGATGGAATGGTGAATTCTTTATATAATATTCTACACATTCAAAGGGTATAGATAATCTATAGTCCGCTACTTAAATCGAGTTTGTATGGTGAGTGTTACCTTGTATACAACATTCACACATCGGTCACACACAGATCTTACATGGAAAGTTTGTTTCACAACTACTACTTTACAACTCATCTTTGCTTATTACATTGCCCTTTCTGTCATAACCTTTGAGCTGGTTGGAAGCGTTTTCAGACACGAATTTGAGGAAGTCTTCAATGCTTCGTCCACCCTGTAAGTAAAAGAAATATTTTACATGAGTACCTAATAAAAAAATCGAGATAGTTGCCGAGCAGGGCACGGATCTCCTTTTAATACGAAGGGGACCAGACCATAGTCCACCATACTGGCCAAGTGTGGGATGGACTTTACATGTCTTTCGAAAACTTGCTATGTTCGTTCTCTCAGTCATGCATGTTTCCTGACGTTGTTTTCCTTCGCCGTAAGAAAAGTGGTAATCATGTTGGAAAATAATTTGCACATGAAAATATCAGAGGATACCTAGGATTCGAACCCATTCCACTCGGTTTCCCAAGCGAGCATGGTACCTAAGTAAATATGAAGTAAGTTTAAGATTGAATAATGCATTCATTTTTCTATTTTAAAAGTAATTATAATTATATTTTCTACTTATAAATGATCTTAACTTACATTATATCTGGATGGTTTCTTAGAACTGTCTTTAGGCTTCCAGTAAATTGTGGGGAAACCTGACACATCATACAAGGATTTAGGCCAATCGTTTGCGGTGGCGTCAATTTTGATGATGTCCACTTCTTCATCCTTCATCTGTAATAAATAAATATTAAATATATTCTTTATTATATAAGCATTAAAAACTAGTATTGCATATTCATAAAATGTAGTATTTATTTAAAGTTGCTAAGTTTAAACTGTTGAAGGATTTACTAGTGATTAGATAACAAGTTTTTATACATTTTATATATTATATAGTTTTATTAAAGCAGGATATTAAAAAGATAAAATTTTAAATTAAACAAGGGTTTTTTTATAGAAAAAATACACAATGCAAGACTATAATTAAAAAATGTACATACTTTTTCACCCAATTCATCCCAAACTGGTACAAGTTTCTGGCAATGTCCACACCATGGAGCATAGAACTCAACCAGAGCGTCTCTGCCGCTGTCTGTAACCAACTCCTTGAAGTTCTTGCCCACTGCTACTTTGACAGGCCCTTCGTTATCGGATGGGATTGGTTGAGACTTGATGAATGGCTCCAGTTTGCCATCTGATAGGTCCTTGGCGAAGGCGAGGAGGTTTTCAATGCTGCAATTGCATAAAAATATTTCATGGTTATTTTTATATAATTGACAAAGTTATCTTATCAGACTACTTTTATAAGTATATGTGTGTGAATGTTACTCCTACACACTGAAATGGCTGGACAGATTTGGATGAAAAGTAAACAGACTAGCGACTCACCCTAGCTCCGTTCGTGTTCGTCCATAATTACATTTTAACGTTTAGTATAGATTTCTTAGACATGAGATATTTTTTTGTAGTAAAAAGTATCCTATATGTTAACATAAATAACCAGCTATCATCATACCAAATTTCATCAAAATCTGTCCAGTGGTTTACTCCTTATGCGCTCACAGACAGACAAAAATTCTAAAAACAATAGATGACGCCTCTGTATCGATAGTAATGACTACTTCAATAAGATTTTCCAAAAAAATGTTTAATTTACAGATTTGACTCAGAATTTTATTATATGTAGAAATAAATTATGATCTGGACCTAACTTATAGACCTTACACTATTCACATATAAAAAATGAAAATAAAAATGGTCCTTATTCCTAACTCAATTTTTGTTACCACAAATTAAATGAAATAAAAAAAATTTTGCAAGTTCTATAGGTATTTTTAGTTATTCTAAATTACAACAGTATAACAGTATTACAATTATAATAACAAGAAAAATATTAATATTGAACTGTTTATACTGAAGTTGTTGGTAACTAAATTTTTCCATAACTATTAAAATAAATGAACTAATATTTGCTGATAACGAAACAATTTTTTTTATAATAAACGACGGCCATAAACATTTTAAAACTGAATGATAAGACATAAACGAGGCGAAAATTTAAATTATTTAAAAACATTAAAGGATCTAAGTAATATAAGTATTTATTTAAAAAATATATAATGCATATTTGGTAGTTTTCCTCAAAAAATTCGTTAATTATTTTTAAAAAGTATTCATTACTATTTGTTTCAAAGCAACTGTTATTTAGTTTTGTGAGAGACTTAATTAGCATAACAGATTAATATGACAAATTTATGAAATCAATTATAATTCTGCTAATTACTGAATATGTACATACATACAATATATTTTTTTTAAACTTTAAATGGTTATTTTATCAAAGTCAAGATAAACTATTTAGGGCCGATCCACACTATAGCGCCATTCTCGGTCCGATATCGGTCTAGTAAAGTATTTTTATACAAGAATCGTTGTTAGAGTGGGAGCCGACCGGAACTTGAATTTTACTGATAGTGTGAATGCACTAACTAACAAAAAAACTTTACCAAAGCGGTATCGGACCGAGTACGAACCGTGATCAACATTATTAATCGGCACTTAAACTATTTTTAGTGTTACACATAAATTTCATGTTTTTATTACAAACATACGACACGCCGCGATATCTTTAGTTTATTACCTAGCATCTACATACACGTAGCAAGATTCGCAACAAGTATTAAACATGCACGTCTCTTTCAACTGCATAGTGTCTTTTTTTTAAGTGTTCCTTTTTTTTTAAGTTGGGAAATGCATTTAGGCAAACACCTGCATACATGCATACATACATACAGGTTAGACGCAACACAAAAATAAAATAAAAAAAATACCTGAACTCATGGCTCATAACGAATTTGTTTCCATCGATGTCCTTCCCGGCGACGACTGGCTTGTCTCCTTTGGCGAAGTCGATGCCGTAGTCGTTCAGCTCGTGCATGAAATCGTCCTTGTCGCTGATTGCGAACGATATGTCCGACATCTCTTTGGCGACCTGTAAAAAAAAACAAACCAGTCTTTATTATTTACTCAATAAAGGTTAATTTTGAATGTATCTTACTTTAAATAGGCCGTTACAGTAAGAAATAAAAATACAGTCATTCTTGCACAAACTTTCGAAATTCTTATATACTCGTAAGTAGATATATCCAAGCTTTATTTATATATTTTACTTGCAACTAACCTTCTCTTCGCTTGATTAGATAAAATAGATTTCTCAGAGATAAGATATTTACCTGCACTAAAACGTATCCTAAATGTTGACCCAGATAACTAGCTATCACCATTCCAAATTTCATGAAAATCCGTCCAATGGTTTTTTCATGATGCGTTCCCAGACAGGCAAATAGAGACATAAATTCTAAAAACCATAGATTCGGCCTCTATCGATAATGCAGAGGAATGACTATTTCGATAAGATTTTCCAAAAAATATTTAATTTACAGATTTGACTCAGTTAGATTTTAATTTTATGTAAAGACGATTTTTACTACAAAAAAACGTCGATTTTTGCGAGGTACTTGAACAACTAAGAATACAGAGTAGAAATTATTTTGGTCTCTATTTTAATTTACCACTAATAGAGTAGACCAAATACAATTTAACTTTCCCATTACCCGTCTCCATGTGACGTATAATGCACACTACATTTTATAAACGCGCCGGATATACAGTTAAAATATGCAAATAGTTGCGACAAGCGCGTTAAGTCTCTATGTAGATGCGCCCTAAAGTCATGTGTCATGGCCGACAAGGTTCGAAATTGCGTGTCACAGATCTTCAACAATTGATTTTCCTCAAGATTATTAAGATTCCTTTAGATAGTTAACAAAATTAAATATATTATTACTGCCATTTAACTATAACTAAATCATAAAATTATTATGTATATAATAATATTTTCCTTCCTTAACCATATCGAATTTGTGTTTTCTTTTATGTAAAATAAGTCAAAAAATTATTGTTTAAATTGAATCTTGTCATGAACTACCAGTTAGAACTGATAGTTTGTACTATCACTTAGCAGTCCCACATCTTTAATGAGTTCACCTACAATTTTACAAAATCTAGTCCCATTAAATAAAAAGCATTTAATAATAATACCTTAAGAACACGGTTCCTCCAGTAGTTGGTGCCTTTAGGATTCTTCTGATAATCAACATCAAAGTAGACTACTACCAACGGGTTGCTGAAGTCATGCACATTTTCCTTCTGACGCACACCGACAAGGCCATGACTTTTTAATAAAAAAAATATTTAGTTAATAGGTACATGTTGCTAATAGTGATTTTTAAGACAATTTTGAAAGATCAATAAATCTAAACAAGTTTATATACCACTTCTAATAACAAGTTAAAAATCAACTCTAATTCAAATTCATTCTAGCATTATTAAAATAGAGGAAAATATTGAACAATTTAAAAGAAAAATTTAACTTACTAGTTCTCTTTAATGAAGCCCTTAAGTTCAGCTGGTTCACCCGTGTAGACTACGAAAGAGTCATCAAACTTGTTGTGAAGACGTTTGGGACGGTACAACACAACATCATCTCTGCCAAATAAAAATATTTTGTTTAAAAATGTTTATTTCTAATCTCATCGTACCCTAAGTAAAATATATATATTTTTTGGTTTTTCACGTAAAATCAAATGTCCACGTTATATGTAATAATGCCCTCTTAATTGGGATAAATTATAGTGGAATCTAATTTAGAAAGTAAGACAACTCGATACGACTGGTAAGATATCAGGCGAGTTTAGTGCTCTCAAAGGCTGGGTGCCTTTGAGAGCTCCTGCTGCTACTATTTGTTTTATGATATCCAGCAACTAGTTTGGCCTGATCCAGGACTCCAACCCAGAACCTCATGATCTTCAGTTGTATATGCTATGAGACCAGCGAGGCAGTTAAATAACAACACTATAATAAAGGTAACATAACTATACAAAATATTTTATGATGAATGTGAGTGTGTTAAAGTAAATCTGCATAAAATTGTTTTATGAATTTTCTCATAACAAATCTTAAACAATAGGTAAATAATATATAGAATAACATGTTGTATGTTAGAGTATACTGACAGTAAAAACATCCCAGTCACGAAACTTGAAAATAATTTTCATATGAATATAATAGTAACACATTGAAATCTTCATATAGTCAGAACCACTAGGGTTGTGACCTTCTATAATATGATAACTTGTTAATGAATGTTATAATGTTAATGTAATCACTTAAAAAACCTAATTGTTGTTAAAAAAGTTTACGAAAAAGAGTTTTTATGATAATTGATTCGAGTTATTTATTACGAAGAAATATATAAAAAAGTCTATGTCAATTGTAATGTACTTTTTTATGCAATAATAATTGTAACAAGATTTTATAACAATCAGATATGAGAATAATGAAGACAATAGTGCCAAAGCAAAAATTCGATATAAGATGCACAATATTTAACAAGATATTGACAACCCTATTTAACATTGCACCCTAAATATAACAGAGATGTAGGTACAGAAGCAATTGGTTAATCAAGCTTATAAATAGATTTTGTAGTACATGTTTATATTCAGCCAACCAGAGAATTACCCTCGCTTCACTTGGGTATGTTTTTTTTAGCATAATTAAAATAAAAGTAGCCCAAGTTACTCTTTATAACATCAGCTATCTACTGATCAAAATTCTGTCAAAATCAGCCCACTGTTATGAAGATTAGCCGGAACAAACAGACAGACAAAAAATTCAAAAATTGTGTTTTTCTTATAAATACTGCATGCAATTTCATATGCAGTTAGTAAAAAGCTGTTATTGTGACATTACAAACAAACACTTCAATTTCATTTATCTGTATAGATTTAAAATTTCTATCTCAGCAACAACATTTTATAATTTGTTTTTTTCATGTGTAAAATATGAAAACATATTTCAATAATTTATAGTACTTTCAAATGTAGGCCAGAATGTGCATGAAATCGGAGATAAAAATGTATAAAATAGAAAATATGTATGAAATTGCAGCAATTACTAGTATAATAATTTGAAGCATAAAGGAAATGTACAGGGCGTGACTGCCGTTTTCATAAGCAAACAACTTATGTAATTTTAAGCTATAATTATAACTGAAATATATTATTACTTCTTTTAATTGTGAATTTTCCATATTTTTATTGTAAGTTATATATAATCGTTAATCTTGTTCTTGTTAATATTCAAATATAAAATATTCAAAAACAATATTAACATTTAATTTAATGATATATTTATGACAAATTTTGATGTATATTTGAACTTTTAGGTATCATTATTGAAATGAAAATTCATAAATAAAAAAATTGCAATGTGGTTAACATTGATAGGTATATACGTAATTAGTCGTTAATTAGAGAGAAAATAGAATTTTTTAACTAAAATCAGTGTATCCCAGATTATACGGAATGTAAAGTTTACATCATATACATCATATATAACAGTAAAACATTTTTTTCTATGGCTCTATTTGTTGCAAGTAAACAGGTTTGGGTAAATCAGCATTGTATTAAACAATAATGACAACCTTTCTTAGATTTACGCGAATATTTAATAAATAATAATAAATATTTTAAATAAAATTATCTTTTCGCATTTTAAGTAGGCTGCCTGTAAAAACTGTCTTTGAAACATCTTAAGCCTTAGTCTCTCCTGTGACCATGACTGCTATTATATATGATAATAAAGCATTCAAAGCATTAGGAACCAAAAATTTAAATAAATCCACAAAACAAACCGAAAAGATAATTTTATTTAAAATAATAACAACCCTTCAACAAATCTAAGACAATGTTCTCTAGTAAAGCAGATAAATAAGATATCTATACTTTTGTTTATGATAAAAACATGCATGAAAACAAAAGCTATAAATAAAACTAAACCAAATTCACATGATGGCTGACAAGATTTTATTTATCCTTGCCAATTATTATTTGAATTAATACACATTTGAACATATATTTAAAATTTGTAAATTCTACTGGTCTATTGTTTAAGCAGTTGTCCTTAATGAACTGATTAAAAAGTGTATACTTAAAAAAGAGTTCCACAGACAAAAAGAATATACTTAGATAAATAATACTGAAGGTAATTTCACTGTTTTCGAATAAATTATGTAAATTTACTTATCTTTATTCAACATATACATATTTACCCATTTAGTTAAATAAGTTCCACACTCCAATTACATTAATAATAAAAATGATACTCACTTGTATCCAGTCTTTTTTAGAACATCCTTAGCAGATGAGTGTCCGAAAACAACTTGTTCCCTCATCACATCAGCAGTCTTCAAGAATTTGCCTTTAAGATCAGTCTCTTTCTCAAAGAAGCCCACAACTACTACTTCATCCTTAGCGATAAAGTTTTCAAAGCTCTCAACACTTGTAAGGTCCTTTGAGCTAGGTCCTACTTGTGCACGCATATGTTTGACTATGCCATCTAAGGAAAAATTTATATAGTATAAGAAAAAGTATATAATAAAAAAATATAAAACATATCTATATGTATATTTAAGCTGATTGATAATAGAAACATAACTACTAGATTTTTTTTATATTTATACTGCTAGTTTTTGAAGTGTGTTTAGAAAAAAAAAAATCTTTTTATTGCTAACCCACACATAAATTATATTTATATGACTTAAATATCATTATTATTAATTATAGTATGCAAGATTATATTTTTAATAAGAGTGAAGTGTATTATATTGATTATAGAAATGTAACTTACTTGACTCCCTGGGGCCATTGTACTCTTGTGAAAGTGCGCCATTTCGGAAAATTTTAAGCGTGGGATATCCAGATACAGAGTACTGTTCACAAGTACTCTTTCCACCTTCCGTACAATCTACTTTAGCTAATGTAATTGGAGGATCATCACTTTTTAATATGCCGGCCGCAGCAGCGTATTCTGGCTTTAATCGCTTACAATGACCACACCTATTAATTATAATATTTCAAAATAGTAAAAAAGTTACATTTAATTAGGTAAAGGTTATTCAACTCTTAAAATTCTTACCATGGAGCGTAAAACATGACGAGAGCGGTTTCATGCTGAGATATCGCACTGGAGAAGTCTGCATCAGTAAGTTCGAGTACATCTTCTTCAGCAGCTTTACATAAATAAACAAAACCTAATATTAAAAATATTTTAAGTGAACCTAACATTTTTCAGACTTTCACTGAGCCTTTTAGTAATGCTACGCTTATCTACACCGTCCAAGTGAAGCTAGTCAGAATGAAAAGTGAAGAGAGGACAAGGACCGGAAAAATACACGTATGATGCTGAATATGACATTAGCCGGCACAGCGTTGGCCATTTCTGATTGGCTAATAAATGATGCGTTCATCAATCACATTTAATAGTTTACCGTTATGTTCAAAATTGTAAATTATGTTTGCATGCATAAAAGCGAAGATATTTGTGAATATATGCACTTTTTAGTATTTTAACTTTGTTGGTTTATGGTTGGTAAAAACTATTTAAGTTTATCAATAATAACCGATAAAATATTAAAATCGGTATTTAATTTAAAACGTCATGTCAGGTTATCACTAGCTTTAAACACAGAATTGTTTGTCAGTTGGCTTTGCTGTCAATCGGAAAATGGCAGCGACGAGTGTTGTCGTTCTCGACAGAGGCAACAATACAACTTGTACCGTAAATCTTTTCGGTGAGTTTAAATTGTATTATAGTTTTTATAAATTATCCATACCTAAATTACATAAGATAAAGATATAAAATATACTTAAACCCTAACAAAGTGTAGAGAAAACGTATAACCTGTAAAAGTTTTTTGTTATTATTTTTGAACTAATGCGCGGAACTTTTAAATTGATATTACGGTCGTTACATTACTTGTATTGTGATATATAATACTCTGAGGCAAGGTTTCGATACATATAAAACTAATATAAATTTTCGTGATCGTGGTTAGTGTAATAGGAGGTAACGAGTTTTTTTTTCAATGAATAGACTAAGAAGTTGTCTGCGGCAATATGACCTTGGCTATTGGATTGTAGGAAGTAAACTGTATACTTGCTTCTAAATTGTAAGTGGTTATTTGATGTACTCACAAAAAATGTTCATAAGCTGTCTAGCAACATTAACAAATAATTAGGAAGTGAATTAAATTTTATCAAAGGAATGGTGCTAATTAAGTATTAAAAATATTTTTTATAATTTTCCCAATATTACATCTCCTTTTCATTAATATCCATCTTTTATAATTGTAAACTTCAACAATCAAAGTTTTAAAATTAATTATACCTTAACAATTTTTCCGCTGTCTAAATATTAGCAAACAAAAAATAAGTATAATTAATCAGTACAAAAAATATAATAATGATGCAATTCTTGGGCATTAATAAACAATTTTAATTATTGATTATTAAAAATGAGAAATCCACATTACTTAGGCTCAAATATCTTGAGCAGAAATGATGTGATATGAATTATAATTAGGTTTCGTAAAAAAGTGGTTATTTTTATATTTATTTTATTTCAGGTGCTACTGTGGTATCATGGCGGGTTAACAATCAAGAACAGTTATTTGTAAGGTAAGAAAGAGACATTGAGTTTTTGTTTACTATAATGTGCAAGATTTTATTAAATATATTACTTAAAACACAGAAATTGTCAGTTATAACAGGTTTTTGTGTATTAATATTAGAGTATTTTCTCTAAAAAAAAAAAAACAGAATGTCTTTTATAAATATCAATAATTTTCCCATTATAACAAATACTTACATACATAATTACTTAAAGTTCATCAGAGCATAATTTCAAAATTATTAAATTTTATAATATTTAAAGACAATTCGAGAACAATAGTTATTATAAATATTTATCTGTACTTATAAAAGTTTATGTATAACTAAATACCTACAAATAGTAATATAATTTCAGTAAATTATGAAATACTAGTTTGTCAGGGTATAAACTATCTCATTTGTAAATTTTAATTTGTCTGTGAATTTTTAATTGAAATTCAAATTTGTTTAAAAGTAACTATGTAAAGGAATGAAAGACACACTCACAAACTTTTGCACTTAGAACACCAGTGTCAATAAGGTTTTTTTTGGTTTTATAAATTCATTTGATTTTTGATGATTTTTTTCAATTCTCATTTTGAATAGAACTATATAATTTTGAACTATATTATTATACACTGAATAGAACTATATTATTATACACTGTTTTTAAACCCTATTGCTAAAATTGATAAAATGCATTAACACCACCAAGTAAATTTCTAAGAAATTAAATAAATTTCTAAGAAATCTATTGTTAACTGTAACGCCGGCGTGTCCGCGGTCGTTGAGGGATTAACCAAGATAGTCTAGATAAACATTTTATTGTAACCTACACGATGTCTTATCAAACCGTAAACGTACTTTTATTTTATTTATTATTTTACATATATTTTTTTCGATTTAGCTCTGTATGTGCCCCAAATGAATGGAAATATTTAATTAATTTCAACAAAAAATCGAAGGTGATTTAAACATCTTATCTGTAAGTATTCGCGGGACTATAAAGTATCTGTTAGAATACTTCGTTGACTGCATGACCTTTCCATAATGTTAAATTAACAACACATCAATAACCTGCCGAGGAAATGAGAAATACCTACCGAGTGTAATCACCCACACCATTACTTCCTACCTTTTTTAAAACTTTTCCTACAGACATAAGGAATATTTATTTATATGGTGCCTATGTCATTATTTTTGTGAGATTTCATAACAGTGAAGTATTTTTTTAACGTGCGTAATTGAATTACTTATTAGTTTTTTTCGCGTGTACCATAAGTCGTAACACGAATTTAACGAAGAAATATCTCACGAAACGTCGGACTTTATGTCAAAATTAATCTGTTCGTAGTTTAAAACCACAACAACTTGTTTGTTAAGATTCTTTGTAATGAGTTATTGAACCGTATGATTTTTTCTGTTTTTATATGAAAACGTAGTATATTTTTCTAGCTTTATATTCTTAAAATATTTATTGAGTATTACGTGGCAATTTTTTGTCTTTATGTATGTTACTGGCCAAACCCGATTTCAGGCCAAACCGACTCATCCTAAGTGTGTCACTATCAGGATACACTTGTTTGGCCTAGGCCCAACTGACTATGAGGTATTATTCGGCTGCAGTTTAGTATAAGGGACGCGGCCTCGTAAGTCTTTGATAACGTAGGTTGAAAAGGCTAGGTGACGGCACCTAAGCCTTCTCGTTAGGTCTTTTTTCTTTGTTTCAAACCCAGAACGCCCAATATCGTAAGTGCTATAATGAAACTATAATAAACATAATTTTTAGACTCAAACAAAATTTAAAAATGAACTTTTTATTCTATTTAGTGTTCCAACATGTTTAATTTGTTAATTGCAACGCTTAAATCAGTTCTGCCTAGGCCAAAGTAGTTAAGCCTAAGGTAGTTTAGGCCAAAGTAGTTAAGCCTGAAGTAGTTTAGGCCAAACTAGATTGTCCTAGGCTAAGCTAGTATATCCTGACACACTTCGGGTGAACCAGTTTGGCCTGAAATCGGGTTTGGCCGGTAACTATACATAGAATTCGATCAAATTTTGCGAGATTAATCTTATCAATACTATACATATGTAGGTATATCATTCCGTGATCTGTAATTGTAGACTATTATACATTAATTGCTTTCTTGACCATTTGGCTCTGATTACATATATAATTAATTAAATGTGGGTGCATATGATATGAATTTTATAGTATCAAACAACATTTATCGCTATTTATTAAATATTCATACTAATATTATAAATGTGAAAGTGTGTTTGTTTGTTTATTTATTTGTTTGTCTTTCTTTCATGTCGTAACGGCTTGGCGGATTGGCATGATTTTTTGTGTGGAGATAGTTGGAGGGCTGAAGAGTGACATAGGCTACTTTTTACCGCGGGAAATTATCTCTTTCCCACGGGAAAACACGTTATAATACGATCCAAAAAATATATTTATGATCAGAATTACTTGAAACTTGGAATTCATCCCATAAGGGGGTAAATTGCGGATGAAAGTTTGTATGAAATCTACCATTCTAGAGTTTTTTGTAGGTTTAGCGCGAGCGAAGCCGCGGGTTCTGCATGTATGTATGTATATATGTATATATATGTATATATATATATGTATGTATATATATATATGTATGTATGTATATATATACACACATACACATATATTATAAGTTTTAAAGTCTCCATGGAATAAGAAAACAGTGTTTCTAGTGACTGGCTTGAGTTGAATGAGATTAAAAAAGCTCTACCGTGAATATATCCGTGTAGAAGCGAGCGTTTCCGCTAATGAGGCTATGTCGATTAGTGGATTCGGGCCTCCTGGCGGACCTCGTGTATCTTTAGCTTAGCATTTGAATAATGGTCTGTTCATCTGTTATTCTGTTTGACAGGCTTGAAGAAAATGGGGGAAATGAGTTCAAACACTTAAGAATAACTTAACTCATAGGTTTTTTTTCGTTTCTTATTCTTGTTGGTCGGTAAAATTTTAATTACATTTATTGCAAGGAAATGTACCTACCGGATTATTTTATTTTTATTCACTAACTACTGTTGAATCAACAGAATATTTTGTAATTTATGCAATCTCATATGGCGAATCAGTCAGCGCCTAGTTCTAAGTCAAATGTAAAAAATATCTTAATTATATGTTGTCGGTATGTATGCCTTAATATAATATTATTTTAAATACATGTATACGAGTATATGGTACATGTATGCGCAATGTAAAAAAAAGCATAAAAAAACTACATTGTCAGTCCTAGGCTAATAGTCTATTTTATTTCTCAACTAGCAGAAATCGCGGCTTCGCTCGCGCTAAAACTACGAAAAATCTTTTAAAAGGTAGTTTCATACAAACTTTCATCCATATTTCGCCCTCTTATAGGATGAATTTCGAAAAATGCTAAAACACGTATTTATTGAATTTTTTTATTGAAGAGCATTAATACAAGTTTCAAGTAATTCTGATCATAAATATTTTTTGGCTCGTATTATAACGTGTTTTCCCGTGGGAATAAGATATCTCCCGCGGTAAAAAGTAGCCTATGTCACTCCAGCCCTCCAACTATCTCCACACAAAAATCACGCCAATCCGTCACTCCGTTTCGACGTGAAAGAAAGACAAACAAACAAACACACTTGCACATTTATAATATTAGTATGGATATGGATTTATAACAATCTTCTAATGGGAATAATAACTTTTAACTTAATGCACATGGAATTATATACGGTACGTACTTATAAGATAAATACAATTTTTAAAAAATTTTTCTATCTGTCTGTCTGTTTTTCCAGCTAATCTCCGAAACGGCTGGACCGATTTTACGGGATTTTCACTGGCAGATAGCTGATGTTATTAGGAGGAACTTAGGCTACTTTTATTTTAGAGAAAGAATTAGGTTTCCGCTCAAAAAAAAAAAAGTATATGTATCCATATTCGTCGTCAAAATTGAAGCCCAAATCTCAAAAATTGACGGACATTTTACATTTGTTTTTAGTATATCGAATGAAAATTATTATACTTAGTTTTTTAACAGCTTTAACGCAGCATATACATAGTTCGTTTATATGTATGAGATACAATTTGAGTTTTTGTATAATTTATTACCACATTTTATGACCTAATTTGCAAAACGTGTAAACTAGTAGACGGCTACCGATTTCGCGGTTGATTGTCAAATTAATTAAAGATGCTTTTTTATAGTGCTTAAATTTGCATAGCTATTAAATAATAAAACTTTTTTTTTAATATAATAAAACGTAGATACGTTGATCTAATTTAATTATGTGATTTTAAAGATTTAAGCATTTTTGATACACATACCTATATAAAATACCTAAAACATTATTTTTGTAATATACTAGGTACCCACTATTAACGTATATGTATATTTTATTTATTTATTTTAATAAGGTTTGCTAGTGGTTATTACATGTTTTACGAGAATTAATTTAAGTTAAGTAATAAAAATACAGCAAGCATAACCATTTAAACAATACAACTTGCATATCCTTGTGTTCGTTTTCACAATTATGAAGATTTTAAAAACATGGTAATTAATATTCTAGATTAATAATAAGCTTAAATAAATTAAATAAAAATATAGCAATAATAAAATTTACAAATGATAATTAATTATATAAGTATCTATATAATTTACAATGTATATAAATTATGATAATCAGTGTAATGGCGATTAAAAAGTAACTGTTGCAATATTGGACAGAACAAAGTTTGATCATTATATTATTGTTGATTAATTGGTTATTTGATTATAATTTGTTTCATTGCTGATTGAGTTAAAATGAGTGAAATATGCTTTTCAACCGACTTCAAAAAGGAGGAGGTTCTCAATTCGACTGTATGTTTTTTTTTTTTTTTTTTTTGTTTTTATGTTTGTTACCTCAGAACTCCGTCATTTATTAACCGATTTGGACAATTTTTGTGTCGTTTGAAAGGGTATACTTCCAGATTGGTCCCATTTAAATTTGAATTTAACCTACTTCTAATT